TATTGAATAAAATTGTTAATACAATTGTACACAAAGTTTCTTTACCGTTAAATTATGTATAATTCTATATTAAATTTTAATTAATTACTTCAATCATCAAGATTCTCATATATGTTTACACAATTTATTCAGAAACTATATGAAATATATGTTTTCATCGAAATGTTTAATTATATTTAACATTGTGAACAGAATTATTTAAAATTATCAAAGTTTTAGCTGCTAATAATGAAATATACTGAAAATAACATTGTAACCACCATTCTGAGAAGTCACCATCCTAAAATATCTTAATGATTATATTCGTTAAGAATCTTTTAAACTCGTGTACTGATATTGATGGATATAAAAGGAGTTTATCACTCATATCGGTCTATCATCATTGCTAAATTAAATTTTGAAGAAATTAAGACATTACGAGTTCGTCACATTCTGACATATGTAAATTTATGTTGTTACCGTAATTTCACCATCAATCACAATTATAATATAAGAGATTCAACCATTTATCATATCACTGTCTTGTGACTTCCTTCCATACGAAGTATTATGTGGATATGAATAAGCATATGAATAATTACTTTATGTGCTAACGATTGTATAATTATGCTAACGATTCTGTTATATAATACATAATTTGCACAAATACAATTAAATTTGTCACTTAGTAAATGGTGTAAATTGTAATAAAAACAGTATAAATATTATTTCTTTATAAATTATTATATAAATACAAAATATATACAAAATATACAATAACAATATATATAAATTATATTGTAAACAATACAACCAATATTCTCCTCTTTCTTTTTAAATATATTATTTAATATAAAAATATAAAATATAATATATTATATTATATTATATTATATAAAATATAATATATTATATTATTTTATTAATTCTCTAGAAAAAAATACTCTGTGACTTAAATTGTGTATCTTTTCAGTAGATATGACTCATCAAATATTCTTAAGTTAGACTGAAATAGAGTATCGTTTCTCCGAAACTTAAAGCTGTTATCATTTACATTATAACAGGAAATATTTTTGTGATAAATTTTCATAGAAAATGTTTTATGATAGCAAGCATTAAAATTTCGTTATCAATAATCAGTTTGCATAATTCTTCTACATACGTTTTAATTTGTAAAAATTTTCACAAAGTGGTTTAAAATTTAAAAATGATTTCCTTCTGCGACGATACAGACATCGATACCTCAGAGATATTCACAAACTAATGTTTCCCGAATTTTGTCAGACGAGGCAATAATTCAGTTTTTTAATGTTTCGTGGTTTAATTTCTTTGGGTTTTTTGTTACGGGGACATCTATAAAACTTAATATACGATAATGTTATTAATAACCTGCAAACATTGAAAGACCAGATTATTCCTTCATATGATAAAATTCGAAATATAGAATTTTTTAATGCTTGATAGATTTTAAAACGTCGATGCGAAGCAATACTTTTCAGCAATTTCTTCAAGTAAGTTTTTAACAAATTATTTATATATATGTATAATAGTTTACATATAAAATGTTTATACTATATGTATAAATTATAAACGAAACATTTATTATAAATAGAATGTATGAAGGACGAGTTTTTACATTTATATTTATATGATCTTTTAATGTTTTTTCATTCTTAAAACAGAAGCAAAATATAGTCAAATTGGACCATTTATTTTACTGTTACTCTGTGATACTTTAATTTAACCGGTAAAATAATTTAGTTTGTTAAGATCAGGACTGATCATTTTTCATCAAAAAAAGTCAAAAATGCCATTGACAATAATCTGTTAAATACATTTGATTACAAAAATCACTTAAGTACATTTGTAAGGATGAAAAAATAATAAAAGTAAATATAACATTATTTAAATGAAATAATTATACTGCACACTATCGAAATATGATAGATTAAATATAGGCAGACAAAATTATTATTTATTAAAATACTAAAAACTTTCGACTCTTTCTGTTTTCTGTGACACGAAATAGAAGATATTATATTTGATAATATAGAACAAGTTCATTGTAAATATATTTTTTATTAAATTATTTTATTAAATTAAATTTAAATGTTAAATATATTCTATATTTTATATATATATATATATATATATATATATATATATATATATATATATATATATAATATTCTAATGTGCATTATATGTTTTGTATATAATTGTAAAAAGCATTTAAATATCAGACAAACATAATTAAAAATTAATAAATGAACTATTTAAAAGACAATAAAGGAATTAGTGAATTACTTGGAATACTTTAAATTATGTAACAATTTGTAGCCCCATATACTGGTTATTATATAATTTGGAATATTTTAAGCAACTTATGCCATGTATAGCAAGCAAGCAACTGATGCTCTCTTAATAACGAAAGGAAAAAGGAGCAAACAAAAAAATATTGAAAAAATAAAAAAACCATGTTGAGCTATGTATGTGAGCATATAAATGAGAAGTAATTTTTTCTTCACTCTATATATATATAGTACCTAATTTTATAAAATATTTTATATTATTAAAAATAGAAATTATAAGTTGAAAGTAATTTTATTTTTCTTGAGGTAGAAAACAACATTAAAATTTGACTCCTGTCGGAATATGAAATATATAAAAAAGAAATAAACTCGAATAAATTTTTACTCGACAGATTTCCGTTGTTTGTTCCTATGTCAAGGACAACAGGTTACGAATTACACTACAATTTTTACGATCATATAATGTGAGATCGCTTATGAATATTCTCTATGAATTCTTTTCAGATTCATCTGAATTTCGTGGAAAGATGCGCAGATTCGTATATGGTCGAAGGTTAGAAAGTAGCCTGAAGCCTTTTTCGTCTGGACTGGAAAGGTCCAACATATCGTTGTAAGATATAATTAAGTATTTCACGATTGTCTAACGTATTCTAAAATACATATTCTGCTAAAATATTATTATTCGTTTATCGAACGATTTCTGTAATCGCTAAATGTTTTTTAGAATTCTTGTGACCAATAAATAATAGGATTTCGTAAGTTACTTCAAATTTAATATTGTTAAATTAAAAATAAAATAACAATTACAATATTAAAATTACTATTGAAATCAAAATTTTGAGAAAATACATTGGATTTGTTAAAATAAAAATTATAATGATAAAAGTACATAGTATATAAAATGTACATTATTGATTTTTATTTGAGTTATATAGTAAAAGTCCAATGGTAAGAAATGATATAAAATTGTAATAATTTTTGATAATATGTATTAAATTATATTTTTTGAATTTAATTTATAAACATATAAGGCATAATGTCTTTTGAGAATAATAAACGTAAATGAATTAATAATATTTATCACTTTATTTTATTACATATAAAAATAATAAAATACATGCATGCAAGTATATAATATTGTGTATGTAAACATATATTAAATATAATATAATTGTACATATAAAAATATATATCCATAACTTTATCGTAAAATTATAAAATTATTTTCTTAATCTTTATAATACTTAAGAAGTATAATTTAATAAAATACTTTTATATGTTACAAAAAATTTAAAAAAATGTATGTACCTATATAACATGTACGAATATACTTATGTCATAATATTTATTTATCAAATATTTCTGTAAATAGTATTCATCAAAGATTAAAAAGAATTACTATGTGTTTACTATTTCTTACTTATTTATTATAAAACTTATTTTATAATTTACTTACTACAATTTGTATAAACATAGTTTAAAAATTGCGAACAAAACTATACTTCTAAGAAACAAAATATTACGTTAAAATATTTATTACAAAGTTATCAATTTAATATTTTAACATAAAGAAGAAGGATTTCTTAGGTAATAAGAAGAATTATAAAATCCTTCATCAAATTACAGGAAAGATTACAAAATCTATTATAATTTTTGATATTTTTCGGTTTCCGATTTTCATTTTTCTCTTCTACAACGTTATTCGTATCAAAATTCTAGAAAATCATATATGTATAACAAATTGTGCAATTTCATTTAATTCTGCATAAAGATATGCATTTCAATATCAACAATGCATTTATGTTAATAATTTCTATTAATTATATTTATTAATAATAGTTGTTGTAAATTTGTATTTTAAATAATTTAATTTAGCAATTCTAATTTATCAATCTAATAATCAATTTATTAATTATTTTGTCACTTTAGAGCATGAATTTTGCAAAAATTTTGCATATGAAAATTATACTACTCACAGACGTAAGAAACCATATGTCAAAGAAAAACAATAATGTTCTTTTCCATTATGTCCAAGCGATCAATTCGTAGGAAATTTACGTATTACAGGTAACACAAATTTCGTATTTTATCGGCCAATTTCGGAATTGAAGATTCTGCAAGTTACAAATTCTTAAGTCTCACAACATTAAAATATTGAAACATTGCGGTTACAGATCTGTTATATAATGTTACGTAAGTATACAAATGAACCGAAATTTACACCTGCAAGATTATATTATATTTCACCATATAGAGATGCGCTCTGAAAAATTTACGAGGTCAAATTGATTGATGATACGGATACAGATTCATATAAAATTGATTTTGTTTTTATTAACCGATCACGATCGCGATTCCTTTCTTTTTCCCTTCTTTTTTTTTTTTTGCACTTATAATGAAATTTTATCGTCCAAAATGGAATTCTGCCTAAGTCAAAATTTCATTCAGAATATATTGAATGACAACTAGATTGAATGTCTTTCTGAAAAGATTATCAATGTTATCAGTCATTCTACATATTCTAAGCGAGAGAACAGCCAAAGGTACAAGGTTTATCTTACTATTTTCGAATCATAGCGCAGTTACTTTGTCATCCTCAGTTTATGCGTCTGGACCATCTGCAAAATTTGAAGCTGTCCTGTTCACAGAGTGGGAGAGAAAGGGGTGGAGGGGGATTAAATAAGGCACCGGTTTGCCAGAAATTCGCCGAATGTTCAGCTGATGGATATATAAAGGGGTCCAGTGCCCCACGTTACGAGTCAGTGCAGCGAGAAGTTCCCTCAGGAAGAACCCGCAATTTTTCTTTCGAGGCTACAAACAAGAACTCCGAAATATCAGCATGAACCAATTGGTGAGTTCGATAATAGTGCCGGTACATGGTATTCGGTTTCATCTCCACGCGTGCTCGATAGACATGAAATTTTAAGAAGAAATTTTAACGTGTCATTTCGATAACAGTTTCATTGCATAATCAAAATATTGCACGTACGAAAATGTTGAAGGAATAATATGAATAAAGAATACTGCTTATTCCTAGAATTTTTTGTTTGGATAAAGCGTTATCGGTTCCATAAATCAAATATTAAAATGTATATATTTTCTTACGATTTTCTTACTTCTTTTCCTATTTAAATTTAACGAAGAAGAAATAGAATTTATTTTCCATGATAATTTGTAAATAATCATTTTAAGGTCTAATCAAAATACAAGAAATACATTATAAGTAAATTTCTAAAAATGTTTAATAATATTTATAAAATTTTCATATTAGTTATTCGTCAATTAATATTATCGTCAATTAATTATACAATATTAATTTTAAGTTTATTGAAATCAAAAACTTTTTTAAATTAATTTTTTAATGATCAGAAACCAATATATTAATTAAAATTTTCAAAATGACTCTTTTTGTTTGATTCTAAAAGTGATTCTTTTGTAAAACTAGAAATTTAAGTATTTCATTTAAGTATTTTATTTTCATTAGTATTTAAGTATCACTAGTATTTTTTGTATCACATTATATGTATATATCATACTGCAGTGATTATTAGTCATATTTTTAATCACGTATGACATACATTAGCAAATTGTACATTGATTTTATTCTTTATTCCCGAGGAAATTTCCAAACTATAATTATATATTTTGTTCATGAAATAAGTCGGATTCTTCATGTTTGAAACTCTGAAATAATTCATATATATTTTAACAGTTGAACAAATTTTTGTCACTCTAATAAATCTAGTATTGTTCCAAAGATTAAAAAGTTTTTAAAAAATAATTTCTTTTATCTCATTAATTTCTTTTAAATTTAGTTGTTTCTTATAAAATTTAAATACGAAATTTAATTCATTTTTACGTCTTGCATATTTTTAATATACATCACAATTTTTTTTCACAAATTTTAAAATTTATAGTCTTACCTATCACTTCGTTCTTTCTATACATTCGTCGTGGTGCACATTTGCCTGCATAATTAATTATTAGACTGTGAATTTTGTATAAATTCATGTTTTTGGAAGTACAATGAAAAAAATAAAACTATGATCGAATATTCTTTTACGATATCATAGAAAATATTATATGCATTTTTATGCATTTTTTCGTATTTGTCTTACAATTATTACACCACAATTATACAACATACGATTCTTTTGGAGCGTACTTTGATGCATATAGACATCTATGATTTCAAATGTAGTTGCACTAATTGTAAGTGAAAATCCAAATCAAATGATTCGGAACATTAAACAAAGCTAAAGAAGATAAAAACATGAAACTAAACTCTTATAAGAATTCATGCGATTCTTATACGCGATTGAATAAAAATTTAATCTATTTATTATTAACAAAAGAATATGTAAATTTAATCTATTTACTATTGATAAAAGAATTTGCAACTATTCATTTTTTCACTATATCAATCCTTTGCAATCGAACTTCTTCTCGACTAAAATTTACAGCAACTTTGAGCGCAAGAGATTAATTTCTTTGCGCCAATTTGACACCCAAATCAAGTTGAAAAAAATGAAAGGCGTATGAAAGTTGAACAAAATGCTTACGTTTCAGACAATCGTCTTGTGCGTCTTCGCTTCCGTAGCAGCCGGCGCTTCTCTGGATGTGTATGCACCTAGCACCCCGCCAATTCCCATTCTGAGGCAAAGCGCGGACGGTCCAAATCCAGACGGAAGCTACAGCTATAGCTACGAGACGGCAAATGGTATCCAGGCGCAGGAGGTCGGCTATATTAACTACGCAGGCACTAAGGCCGAATCTCGCGAAGCTCAAGGCAGTTACACTTACACCGCGCCGAACGGTGAAATTGTCCAAGTGACCTACGTGGCGAACGAAAACGGATTCCAACCTCAAGGTAGTCACATCCCAACTATTCCACCCGAGATTCTCAAGGGACTCCAATACATCGCTGCTCATCCCGAAGAGAACAATATCGATGCAAAGGAAACGGTGAATCTGTACAGAGCAAGAAGATCAGTCTAAGAGCTCCTCGAAACGTTTACGCCTGAACCAAAGTCGAGGATGTACAAAATCGACCGGTTTTCCATTCTTCGAAAACGATTCCCGGTTATATTTTTGAATGAGAATCCTTGGAGTTTTTTGAGACTCGATTCGTATACTATTTTTGTACTTGCGCATATTACTTTATAGGGTTGTTCCTTTTTATTCAAATAAAAAAGTTGTAAAAAGATATTGAGGAGGATTGTTGTAAATAAATTGTACTTTGATACCTTAACTTTTGTTGTTTTCAGAATCGAAGAGCAGAAATCTTATTGCTAGATCTATATATCTATCATTTAAAAAGTTAAATAAAATAAGAAATTAAATGAACATTGAAATTTTTCAGTTTTATAAATAAAAAATAAAAATATTTCATATTATTTTAATTCTGATTTGATATTGTTGTTTCTTGATATTAGTTTAATTTTTCGTTGTATTTTAAAAAGAAAAAGTAGTAAAGTCAAGAATTAGTAATCAAAAATATTTATTAACCGAAAATATTGCGAAGATGCTTTCAAATAATTTCTTAAAGTTGATTTTTTTTTTTTTTTGTTTTGTTTTTTCTTCTTTTCTTGACTACACAGATGTTACAAAAATGAACTAATAATAATTTAAAATAAAGTAAAATAAAGCATAGATGGGCATTACCACGAAAAGGAAGTTTAAAAATTTATTTCTATGTAATAATATATAGTAATACTTGAATCTGTTTGAATAAATATTATAACATATGCAGACAAAGAATAAAAAATTAAGTTAGTGTGTTTCATTATTTAATAATCAAATTACTATATTTTGTGATATAATATTTATTATATTTTATAGGTCCTTAAGTAAAGGACATTTAAATTTTTATTAAAGAGTTCTATTAAAAGTATAGTAAAATACAAAGGAAACAGTAATCTAACTTCCAATACCATCTACACTTTCATGCTATAGAACTTTTGTAGTATGATATTTCATATTTTTATTATAACTCTATATAGTATATTATATATTTTATATATTATTAAATATTTTGTACGAAATTAATCTTTGAAATTAAAAATATCCATTCTTAGAAATATGAATTAATACACATATAAGTTAAACTGTGTTAGAGCTTTTTTAAAATTTGAATTATTTCAACATGGTGAATCAATTTCTCTGCTTAACGATTTATATAAAATTAATAGTATAAATAAAAATGAACGATAATAAAAGCTTCCTCACATATCATATATTCCGTGTTTATATCTCTAAAATTCAAAATAACTTGTTAAAGTAACATTTACATAAAATTTATAGTTTTATAAAATATTAATTTTAAAAGAAATTTTATAAGAAATTTAATTAACTATTTTGGTTCCTTTTTCTTATTCAACTTATTTTATAAACCTTACAGTCCTAGCGTAAGAAACAACAATTTAATAATACCAGCGTATTTTCGAAATTATAAAATTTCTAAATTCTTAATAAGTACAAATATCACCGGTATTCGTATATTCATATCAGTCAGCAAGTTTCTCAAGAAAATAAAAGATTAGAAACTAAATTTTTAACAACTTTCCCTTTCTTTATATTGTCACATAAACAAGACATAAACACGTAATTAAGTATGATAAATAACGATTCTTTCAAACGTCATCCAAGTTCTGCAGTATTGACAGAAAGCTGTATATTTGTAATTTTTAATGCTTTGTATTCTATCTCCATGAATTATTTTCAAAACAACACATAAAAACATTTCTGTACATCGCGTGAAAGCATTTAGTTCTGCTCATGATTGCAATAGCAAATGTAGAAAAAAGGTGGAATATTTTCTCATTATGTGTAGATGCATGTTTATGAACTAATAAATATTACTCGACAAGGAAAAATCGTGAATCATCGTTACATGATAAAACAAAAAAAGACAATCAAAAGGCAATCAAATACAAATTAAAAAAAAAATTACAGACAATTTTCGCAACATTTGTGAGATCATAATACGTCGATTGTTGCAAAAAATTTAATGAAGCGCTTGAAAACAGATCGAAGATGAACGTTCGTCGATGAAATGAATGAATTCGTGACAAATGAATTTTTCTACGAAAATACAAAGTTTATTTTGTACATTATTAAGAGCTAACATAAACTTGTTCTAACGACTATTCTAACGTTTTAATCACGGGCAATCAATTTCGTTGACTCGGCCGTAATGGTTTATGTAGTCGATTAGTGCTGGCTGCTGGAACGGCATTTTGTTGACTTGGCGAGTCTTTGGCGACTTCCTCAGGTTCCGGTGTCGAGGGTTGTTTCGCGATCCAATCGAGAGCTCTCTGAATGGCTGGCGGTATTGGCGGCGGTGTTGGAATGTGAGTACCTGCTACTTGAGTACCAAACTCGTCAGCGGTCCAGCTAATCGCTATCGGCGTACCATCCGGAGCATTATACTGTACGGATCCTTGAATTAGCTGAGTTTCAGACGGCGTGCCTGCGTACTTTCGGCTTCCGGTCTCTGTTTGCACGATACCGCCCTCAGTCTCATAAGTGAACGAATAGTGGCCACGATTGTCACCGAGGTTCCGGTTATCGCTAATGATCTTTTCCGGTTGCCGGAAATATTCCTGGCAGTGAACCACCGCGAGAAATGTAAGAAAGATCTGAAAGTTGAAAGTATATTCAGAATAACGAAGTTGAAATAAATTTTTTGGAACGTTAAAAAGACCGATTGTTTTTTCATTTTAGTATCAATGTAGTATTTCGAATTTATTGTAAAATACGAGAAATATAAGAAAAATTAAAAAGAAGAAAGCGAAATAAAAAATTTACTGTTGGAACAAGAATTAAGAGAAAATGGATCGTTAATTTTTAATGACGCGCAGTGTAATGCATCATCTTGGTCATAACTGAAATTGCAGAACTGAGCACTTGTTTTTTTTATGACTACAATATATATACAATAATATTTATTTACTATCCAATGATTTCCTCATAAACGATGTCAGAAAGAAACGAAAGAGGGAAAGATAGTTAATTTCTTTGAACGGAATGCTTACATATTTTTAATTGCGATTATATACCACGCAATTATTTTGAATGTCATATAAGATCAAAAATAAGCGAAAAATTTTGAATATTTCATACAATTTTATTTACCAACACATTCTAAGTACATAAGAAATGTTCTCATAAAATATTCGAATTTTTTTCTCTAAAAGATTATAAATTATTCACATTTTGTTTGATTTAATTCTGTGTAACAAGAAGAAATAATATACATGATGTGCTTTGGTAAAACAAGGCTAAAATATGAAAAAAATCAATTGTAGCGTTTAGATGTTTTTTTTATAAACTAAAGTATTCACTTTACAATGAAATCCCTATTTCTTAGAATAATTATTTACTTTATAATTCACAATTAAAATTATGTATTAATATTTAATTATTTAAAATTATAAGGCAGTTATAGTAATAAATATAAACAATTTAAAATTATAAAATATTTTTAAAATAAAATTTCCAAAAATCGCAGTGAGGAAATTAATACTTATTTACAAGATGCTATAAATCAACTGAAAATAACAATGTTGGAACACAAAACAAAACAAATAACTGAAAACGAAACAAATAATCTTAATACGGACTGTGTCATTTCAGACGCGTTTATCTTTAAAAAACATTTTTCTCGCATTAAGTTCTTTTTATCACATAATATAATAACTGCTTGATTACATTATTCACATTATAATATTATAAGATAAAAGGTAAAAGATTTCGTAGGCAGAATTACTAAATCTACTATTTTTCAACCAATCATTATGCAAATTCTACGATTAATTATCAATAAATTATTTTTCTTTAAAAATTTAATTCTAAAAATTAAAATCTTTAAAAATGTATTTACTAAACTCACTATAATTTGCAATTGCTATAAAGATTTCTTTCCTTTTTACTTCGACATCAATTTATAAACATGAAATCTTTTCTCATTATTTTCTTAATATTCGATTCAAGAACGTGCTTTATTCAATTTTCAACATATCAATATTGTTTTGATAGAAACTATTTATCCAAGTAAGTAACCAGAAAATTATAGAAAGTTATTATTACTACAAATACATCTATGATTGCTGTGAGAGAGTTGCGTCACATATGACGTCTTAAGAAAAGTCGATGTAAGAATCCATTTGATTCAGCGAAATAGTAATTTTTACTGAATATTTTCTTGCACTTTTATATTCCTCTTCGATCGATTAAAAGAATTACTAATGGTTAATGTAAAATAAATTTTATTATAAATGGATCTTTAGATTTTTTCAAAGTAAATTCTTCAAATTTTTTTCAGATTTTGGTTTTAATTAATCGTTTAAATATATATATATATATATATATTGCTTCATTCGTATTTGAATTCATATGAATGCTTATAATTTTAAAATTATAAAATACCTAGAAAGTGAAAAAATAAATAAAATTCGTGTATATGTTATTACAGATATAGATATATGTAAATTAGTAAGCATTAATAAAATATTTCTTCCCAATAGTCATATAAATTGAATAAGAATCATGATATAATTTACATTATTAGATATATTTACTTATTAACACTTATATGAACGCTTTTTACATAATAAACAATATTTTATATAAATTGTTTAATTTTTTCTGTTTCTTTTTATGGTAAAATCGTGATAGTTTAAGTAGAATTGGACTGCCTTCCTATTCTATTTCTTCTCTTTCACATTTTTGTATCTTTAGCATATTCGTCTATCATATTTACTTATTCGTTAGCCACCTGTATATTCAATTCTTAGTAATCAAACAAAAATGTAGCTATAGAGTGTAAAAGAACAGAAATCAATGCTTCGTTACGCCTGTCTTGTAAATCCGTTAAGATATGTACCTTTCCCCGTGAAAGGTCAGGGCAAAATGAATGTGTTAGCAGATAGGTCAAGATATTCATTACGATTGTAAGAGGTAAAAGAGACGAAGGAAACTTGGTTTTTATATAATTACATGTCATTTTGAAAAAAACTATTCAACCGAGTTTAATCAATATATAATTTCCTTCGAATATTGTTCTTCGAACACTTTTTGAAACAAATAATTGTTGTACTTTACGGCAGTATTAAATTCATTGTGTGGATGAAAATTTAATAGATGCGTTGTACAGTATAAATTTAATGACAGACATGTATGTTATATAGAAATTTTAATTTAATACTTTCTATGTATGAAAATCTAATTGTAATTTAAATAACTTTGTTGGCAAACAATTATACATTACGTATTTATAATAAAAGATGTCATATAATGACTATCTGTTGGCAATATATAATAATTTATGAAATTTCTATTTGTTATGTCAATGAAAATTGTTTTCATAAACTTATTTTTTGGATTATTTTTATTATTAATTAAATAATATATGAGTTGAATGAAGGTATTAACCAATTTAATAATATTTACAAATAAATATTTATAAGCTTTTATTATACACATTTTCAATTACTATGTATTCAATTAATTAAAAAATTAATTAAAAAATTATAAAAAAGTTACTTTAAAAATACTGTACAAAATTAAGTTTATTAACTGTAAAAAATAAAGTTTATTAATAAGAAATATAAATTAAGTATGCTGATACATTTCACATATAAATTTTAATACTTGTATATTATTTCTAAATATATATAATTTTGAATTAGAAAGTATTATATATTCTCTGTATAATATATATTTAACATTAATAAAATTTCGCATTTATTTTATCGAAAAAATTTTGCTTTGTGCAATAACTTTTTACGACAATTACTAAAAACAAATGAAGAAAATTTTTCAATATTTCAACAATAATGATTATGACTTCAAGTATTATTCATTGAACTGGAAAGTGTTACATACTTTATAATATAATTATATATTATATATTTATAATATAATTATAATACATACATATATATTGCATATTAATTATTTAGAATTAACTTATATATTATATATATATATATATATATATATATATATATATATAATATGTATTATAATATATTATAATTATAGATGTATGCATATGTGCATTATACATATACAAAAGTATCTATACATATATATTATTACTTAGATTATATTAATAATCTTAATTAATAATTCTGCGAATTGTGCAAAGTTTCATAGCAAATACTGTACGTAAGAAAGCATAATTCATAAAAATATAAATCTAAAACTAACAGCTAACAAACACTTAAACGAATGATTCAATGCCACTGACCTCGTTATGTTGAAAATGAATTATCCTTCAAAATTTCTGATCTAAAACTTATTACATTTCACTGTGTAAAACCGCGAGAATCGTAAAACAGAGTTCGACTTCAACCTCGATTCAAATCGAGAAACAATGAACAAAAGAGGAAATTGAGAACGATGGCGCAGGAGAGGACAGGAGTGGCAGAAAGCGAAAGAAGATACTTACCAAGGAACGCATGTTGTCGAAATGACGCGACGAGACACGTGCCTGTGCAACAGCACAACGCTCTCTCGAGAAAGTGCGATGCTGTGTGAAACGGTGGAGATAAGTCTGCGGTCAGATAAAAAGGCAACGTCACATATAGAGCGTCGATGTTCTTCCGATGGTTGCTGGCGTGAAGTTCGTGAGCAACTCTTGGACTGTTGGGGGCACAGCCGACCTTTATACCGGCGAGTCTACACAAGCCAGTTGCCAGCCTTTACATAACCCGAGAAAGTTTATTTCGGGATAGCCACGTCTCGCTCTAGAGCACTTCTAACTGCGGAATGATCCACACCCCTGTGGAAAAAAAAGGAGCAGAGATGATTGATCCTTCGATCGTGCCTGCGCGCGGCTTTTTAACGCGATTTCACCGGCCGCTGCGTATTCGCGACACCACCGGTTAACCGTGGCTTTTCTCGTCCCAGTCCAATACCAGAACTTGCGTAACCTTTCACTTGCGTAATTATCGCGAGTATTCTGGTATCTTCTCCTTTTCGGCGAACCTGAATAATGCAGTGGTAGATGATTACGGTTGATTTCTTTATAGCCCCGAAATGGAGCTGACACTGATATCGCAGATCCACGTTTGGTCCATACATATGCGTCTCATTCAAGAGATTAAACTTTCCGGCACAAGTCGATTTAATAAACGAACGAGATTTATATAATTTCTGAATGACCGAGATAACAATCGATAGCGGTGAAATGTGGAATATCGTGGTTATTTAATCTGGGCAACATTTTTAATACGTTAAATAAAACATTATTGATGCTAGCTTTTATTATTATTTCGTGTAAATACTTTTGCCAGAAGCTGCAAAAAAATGTGTTCAACGGTGGTGACAATTTTGCGAATCAATATGAAATTCTTAATAGGAACTTATGAATAAATTCATGAAACACTGCGGGTTATCGATGAAAATGAAAATCGAATGCACTTGAAAAAACTTGATAAATCTTCGCGTAGGATGTCAAATGCAAAAGAACCTTAGGCAAAAAAAACGTCTGGACTCAAAATTCCACGATATTACAATTTAGCGTGCTGCGATGCTCGCCATAAACACGATAAACAAATTTGTAACTTTGGTCAATTTTTCTTTGTCGTCATTGAATTCTTTCGACGTGATTCATATTGTATAATATTATTATAATTCCGAGGAGTATCAATCAAATATTATATTCAAAAAATATTTAGAGAAACAATAAAAATAAACAAATTTAACAAAACAGAGAAATGAAAAAATTCAAATTTACATTCCTTTGCAATTATTATTTAGTGTTCATCGTTATGCAGCAAAACTGCAATTGCGAGATGGTAGCAGGATTAAGATTTCTTCATCAAGTCTCATTTAGAGATTTCTTCATCTCATTTTCATAACTTTATCTAATTCGCAAATCTGAATAATAAATTTATACGTCATAAAGTTAATTAACACTCTTTTTTTTACATAATTATCTTTGAAATAAAAAATACTTTAACTTTTTCTTGAGAAAGTAGAACGAAACGATATTATTTTTCATTTTTATCTATTTCCTCGAAGATAGTCTAAATATTACATATTTTAAAGAATTCATTTATATTCCTTTCTACAGCCTACGCTTTATACATAAAAAAAGAAAGTTTGATCTTTACATATTTCATTGAAAGTATAAAATCATACGATTTTACATTATGTTTCTTTATTATTATTTCATACTTACTTTACAAAGAGAAAAACAACTCCTTTTCTTTTAAATATCATAAATAAAATTGAAAAGCTTATAAAAATTTATACTTTACTTTTACATATATTTTCTAGTTTCGAAACCCTAATTTTTCAGTTCTCTATAAAGAAATTCTTAATTTCTCAATTTTTGTTACTTCTTCGATATTTTCTTCATTTTATTTAATCGTTTCTAGACCAATATAGAAACATCTTGTGATAATATAATAAAATCTTGTATTAAAAATACTTTACAAAAATGCGAATAAAAAAAATTAAAAAACTTAAAAACTGTTGGTTGATATTTATTCCAATTTACTCGATTGTATGATATTTCTTTGTGCAAACACATTAATTGCTTGTTTTGCCGAAAACTAGAATTTGCATTGCTTGCTCGTAAAACACGCTGAGTTGAATTAACGAGTTATAAATAAATAAAAGCTGTTACGTTCAACTGTATCTATTATTTATCAGGAGGATAATGACATCGATGTCTTGAATACCCGTTACTTGCATTTTTGTGGGAATTGAACTCTACAAATACAAGTCCTTGGCACAGTGATCCTAACGGCGTGCTACGTACAACAACCAGTGTTCACATAATTGCATTACCTACTACCTAATATATGCAAGTCAATATTTATCTTTACGAAAGAGAGGTCTTCGATGGAAGACAAAAGATCTCTGTACGTTTTTAATAAAAAAGAAAATAAAAACGATATTCAGAAGTGATGAATATTTACAAACTCGTTCTCATCTCTCTTGAATTTCGTTTTAATAACGATTTTATATTTATTTATGCGTTCCTCTATTGATTTATTCACATCTGTAGACCGGTAACTGCAAATAAGAAAATTTGTGATAAAAATTTACGGGATGATATTATTACTTTATTAGAATGTAGATTTGGAATTTGAAAATAGCAAAAAAATCACTATTAATGTCACATCAGTTGTATGATTTTGAAAAATTTTTCAAAGAAATATTTATAAGTCGACTACAAATTAAAGTATTAAGTAGAGTATTAATTGGAAATTTTTTAAAAATTTATATGATACAAGATAATAATATAAGATAATTAAGATACATATTGACAGTCATATAATATAAATATATAAAAATGTTTCTAAGAAATAAACATTTTTTAAAATGTAATTACATAAATATTGGTACATGTAAAAAATATTATATAAATAGATTACGAAACATTTTATTTCTAATTTTTTTTATTCTTATCTCCAAGTTCAAAAACATATGAAGGATAAAAATAAAAAATGATAAATCTACTTTTTCTTGTCTTAAAAGTATTTGGGTTTTAAAGAGATCGAGATTTCATGATCATAAATTTATCTTATTTATATATTTCTCTTCATACTGAAATCAGAATAAAGATAATTTCTTAAAATTTTTATATTTGCTAAATTAATATTTTTAATAGTAATCAATATTATTAATTATAAATTATTATTACCGCTCTCATTAAACTGAGCATTAAGCTATTTTAATCTATGTTTCAATCTACATATTAAATTAATAACAAATAAGAAAATATAATAATAGTATAATCATTTAATAACTATAAATATTTTTAAAAAATTTCTTACTATTTATAATACAATTATTTATTTTTAAACACAATTAAATAGAAAATAATGTACGTTTTCGTCGTATATTCGTTCAAAATTTTTCCGAAACACAAAAATTGCATCTTTCATCTTGGATTTGTTATAATATTATTAAGATAATTATAATTAATTATAATCTAATAATCATTTACATTTTTACTTTTCGTATCATTAAGTAATAAAACTATTTTCACAAGATTTTTAACAGTTTTTCAAACTATAATTTTACATATTTACAGATTAAATAATCATATATTTGTCACTCTTTTCTTATTATATAATATTTTTTATTTTCTTTATACATGCATAAAAAACTTGTTACTATTAAAATGATTCCATTTAAATGATTTTTTGGAAATAGTATAAATAAAAGCTTGTATCATTTTTCTGTTACTCTCACCTTAATATCTCTTAAAGAAATTTTAGTAATTTTAATGTCAAACTTATTAAGATATATTGTAATTTAATTTATTAATTAAAAAGGAAATTAACTACTTGAAATATCATACTTAAAAAAACTAAAAGTATCTGTATGAAGCAAATAAATAGTAATATTTACATAACTATATTTTATTAAATACTAATATGTCAAACTATTATATCTAATACGACAAGTTATTGGTACTTTCTTCTTCGATTTTACGAGCAAATAAATTTTATGTTATTGATCTTGCTATTCTTAGTCAATATTATTACACATTGCTATTATTAAATATTATTGCACTCGCAAAAATAATGTTGCTATTAACTGATAACAAATTTTCTTAATTGACAGTTTTATTACATGTATAGTTGCTCACATTCACAATATTCGAATATTAAATATTCGGATACTAAATGTTTAAACTGTTACAATTTTATAAAGCAAAATCGTGCAATAATAAACTTAGGTTTAATTTGAAACCTGAAATCTCTATTTTCAAAATGCATTATTCATTTTATTCTAAGATGTTTTTGGATCACGCAACAGATAGAAAAGTACTTTTCTTTTCAAAAATGTTATAAAGTAATTAATTGACATAGTACATAAAAAATTTTCTTTCATGACTGAATCTATAATGAATTTAAAAATTGAAACGTGCCCTTCACAATGACCTAAAATCTGATGTTCGATTTTTTGTCACCATTTTTACGAACTTTGAATCTTGGGCTTAAACGACGAAAATTCAAGAAATCTAACATTTTCTAACATTGTTATATTCGTTTTCGCCTGATGGCCAAAATTAAATCTCACGTGTAACAATGTAGAGAATTCTTAAATGAGAAAATTATTACTTAAGAATCTGCAATTTGAACGGTGAATTATTTCATTCTTTATTAATAGCTCAAAAAAATATAAAAATTATAACGATATAGAAAATATGAACTGTAAACGGCGTAGAGAAATAATTTAAACTATTATTAATTATATATAATACATAGTATAGTATAACGTATTTATATAATGTATTATATAGTATAATATACCAGAATACTATGTATGTTATATATATATCGGTATACTATATTAATATAGTATATATAATATATATAGTATAAAACACAGTACAGTATACAAATATAATAAATGACGAAATACCTACGTCCTTGTTAAAGTCAACAATCTAAAATTCTTCACGTATTATTATACATTACACTGTACATTGATTTACCTACTGATTTAGCATGACACAAATTACATCATTTAACTTATACCTGACTTTTAACTTTCTACATTATTACTAAAGACCTTTACTTCGTATACATAATCATGACGTATACTGTACATACTTCACTATATTAGAAAAAAAACAATATTACTAAGAAGAAATATATTCAAATAAATAATTAGATATTTTTTAAATAATATGAAATTTATTACATTCTTTGTAATTTGTAATTATATAATTTTCAAATATTTTTCATATTAATTTATGTCTGACTTATTTGACTGATTCCACTCCTCTACAAGCGACTGACGTTGCAGTAGAATGGGTTGTCTAGCTACAGGCAGTAGTATTGCCCGATCAATGAAGACTGATGTTTTAATCCTTTTATAATGACATTATTTATTATTTTTTCCTATGCGTTTTTATATTTCAATGTTTCCTCATTAAAAAGATCTTTATACAATAATATAATACAATATCCTTTAAGAGTTATAAATAATTTTTGTATAGATCTTGTATAGTATAATAAATATGCTATATAATATAATGTAAATGCACGATATATAAATTATACTATAATATATACTACTTATCAATTTAAAAAAAATACATATATAAATTATATATTAACAATAATATCTTAATAACTAAATCATTATAGAGAAACCGTAAAACTTGAAATGTACTCTCGAACAAAAATTATTTTAGACCTATGGTTGTCAATTAAAATCGCAATCCAATTTTATAAATCTTTTTTAAGAAAACATAGAATTCTCAGGATCTTATTCCATCTTAAATTTCACCAGAACAAAGATTTTGAAAGACCTTATTTCCCGTTACTTGTCTCTTTTATTTGCATTTGCTTCGATCATTCTCGTATCTTCATTACGATTACGATATTTCAAATTCCTTTCACAGTGATGTTACAGCAAATTGTATTCGTAATATCTTCCAATGGCCGCTTTCACAAACTGACTTTCTTCCCATCTGCTGCACTTTGGAAGATCCATCGGTTACATCGACCATCGGAGAAAGATCGTGCAGAGCGTTAATCGATTCAATTATTTAAAGATGCTGGGATCGCTGGGTGGTGGGGATATCGGCCTGACGAAGACACACGAATAATTCCGAGAGAGGCGCGTTAGGTCCGAGTCCCAAGTGTGGTATCACTAGTACTCGCAGTGTCCACAAGAAGGCACTGTCAATTGAAAACGCGATTGCCATGCATGTGTTTGTTACGGCTGGTGACGCACGATTGGCATATACAACGCTGTCGTAACGCGACGTCGACGTACCGTAATCGCGTGCAGCCGCAACAACACTCGTTTCGATTTTCGCGACTGTTCCACTGGGACGTGTTTCTCCTCCCCGGACGGGCCACTTGACAAACTTTTGTCAATCACAAAACGTCACGGTTCCACGTGGACGGTTGCATGTCCCTGTTATCAGCTCTCTGCACACCGATGGATCTCAGTGACTTCATTGGAATGCAATTGATCCGGTCGAGGCCCTCTTCGATCTGACAGGTATTGGCTCGATAACACGTGATCATTGTCGCTTCGCTTAGCGTATGCGTATCTTTTGCTCCGTTCGTCTTCTCACCGGTTATACTACACGCCAAAGTAAATCGAAATTTCACGGTTCTTTTAATTTTCATTTTCTGTTGCATGTTACAAGAAAAAAAAAAAAAACATACTGCTCGAATTATTTCTGAATGAATCGTCATGTCAATTCAAAGCCAATGTTTTCATTCAACTCGACGTTTACGAATGTTATGTGACACGTGAAAACGTCAGGCTCTATATCTACTATAGACTATCATTTGGTCTTCGATATCGCTACAGTAACTCTCGATACGACGCGATTAATCGTGCTTCATGTAAGTATCTACATCTCTGTACACTGTTATATTACGAGTACAAATGTGCGTTAAATGGATTCATCTCGTGTGATAAATATAATTGCATTCGTATAATTAAAATGTTTATTGATAATTGTGAATCATCATAAACATTGATAATAAATTTAAATTAAAACACGAAGTGATTGTCCACGATATATAAGAACGAGGAGCGCAAAAATCTCAAACAGTTTTGCCATTGCAGTTGTATAGGGTAAGAGTTGAATCCGACCGAATCTCTTGACGAATTGTTCGTGAATGTTTTCGCGTTTCCTTACATTAATGAAATTACCGGAAGTTCGTGCAAGTATTCCGTGTAAACTTCTCTCTCTCTCTCTCTCTCTTTTCCCCCTCTCATTCTCTCTTTTATACACACAAACACACATTCCATCTCTGTCTTTTCCTCCCTCTCTCACCTGGACTGGCCCGATCGTCATTTCTGTCTCTGTCGTCTGACTTTCCTCTTCTCTCTTTCTGCCATTAGATCGCCATGCCATCATGAATACTACGAACAGCAACAGCGGCGTCAACGGCAACGACAGCAACAACACGATCGCGGGCAAGACAAATGCGCACGGCAACAGTGTTCGTCTGCAGAGCGTGATCGGCAAGCAGAGCAGCTGCGTGCGCAAGATGAGCACGATGCTGGAGGAGGAGAATGCCTCGGACGATATGGATCCTGACGTGATAAGGATAGGACATCAGCTCTATCAGCATCATCAGCATCACGACGCCGATTCGGATTCACCGTCCGAGGGCAGGAGTCGTTTGCTGAGCGCCACCGAGTCGACCACTCGAAAGATCGTCGTTACCCCTACGAGCTCGAGTAACCTGCACTGTAACGGCACTGTAAAGAAAACCTTCCCTCGAAACGACAGTATCAGCAGCATCCACGAGAGAACGTACTGTCGGCTTCAGCAATCGATGTCAGGAGACCAAGTCGGTCAAACCGAGATCAGGCTGCATCGTGACATTCCACAGGGTATACTTAGGTCCGTTCGAGGGATCGACTCGCATGGTGGACGGTATCGCTGTTCAAGCGTGAGATCGGTGAAATCTAATCCGACGATGAATGATCATCAACACCAGTATCATCCACCGGCGGCCAGCTGGGCATCGATCGTGTTCTCGGACGGAAACGGGCAAACTCACGTGCGACCGCTTCCCGACTCCGTCTCTATACGCTCTCTAGCATCGATCGGCATGGGTTCTTCCAACGGCCGGAAACTCACGATACGTAGAGTTCTCACTTCGCCGTCGGAGCTGCTTAACATGGTACATCCGCCGCCGTAAGTGAGCTACATTATCTAACGTGCGCGTCTCTCGGCGAGAGAAGCGTCGGAAGAAGCGGACTATGAATCATGTCCCGTAGTTCCTCCTTCTCCGTTCACTTCCTGCATGTGGTCTTCGTTCGATACCTTTACGCTTGCCAGAGCTTAGGTTTCACTCTGTAGCGAGGATTACTGCTCATTGGCCGGAAGAGGATTTGGCTTGCCAAGGCTAGGCTAGGCTGATGGGGTTAGATAAGATAGCCATTATCTTGCTATTAGCTGGCCTGTAGTTATAATGTTGTTCAGTGATAATTGATAATTGGCAATGTTAGTTGGAGATGATTGATTGTTGTTTGTTTCTTTTTTTCGTGTAACAAGGCAACTCCGATGAGGTCGACCAGAGGAATGAATTTAACGATGAAGTGAGTTTATTCCGATCAAAATCCGTTAAAACTTTGTACTTTTTAAAGTGACATGTTCGATAAAGTTGGTAAAAATTTTACTTACGCAAGTATAGAATACGATCAATGTAGAAAACAATATACAATAGCCATTGAATATTTCGTTTCGATGATTTATCTGTACGAAAGAATCGAATCACAATCAGTGTACTCAATTATTGTAGATAATATAGATAATGTTGTGAGATCAAAATATTTTCAACTAATTAACATCTCTACAGACATATCGAAAATAATGTTTATTTTTCGTGGTTGCCGCATGATTCGCATCGGTCGTCTAACGATAAAGATAAACAGAAGTGATTGCCTAATCTTATAAAAGTAAGACCAGTGATGCGTTTCGTTCTGTTCGTTTGTAACACACGTCGCGTAAAAAGTAAAGTCTTCCTGTGGAAGAAACGCCGGTCTTATTGATTGTTTCGAAGACAGATTTGGTACTTTAAATATAGGGACACCTACTAGTCACCTACATTCAGTTGATCGAAGTCTGCCGTCCCGCGAGACTTTTCTCCAACTTCGCGCAGTATATCATAGTTCCCAGATAAACGAGCCTCGTTCCAGTTATCTATGTATTTAAACTTCTTTTCGTTGAACAAATATTTACAAGCAGTATCTAGGAAATTGCATTTCGAGTTAAAAGTGAATAGCACTTGGTGTCTGGGAGTTGCATACGTTACGGGCAACGCGAGCATAAGTTTGACGAGCATAGCGAAATGAACTTCCTCATCTTGGTGACAATTGTTTAAAATACTACGACAGTGTAAATCAAGCTGTTATGCTTCCTAAGTCAAGATTTCGGTGGCGAGAGATGCCGCGTACATCCGAATTGCTTGTGGAGCGTGGTCTCGTCATCCAGCCACTGCAATTCCAGCGTATTGTCCCAGAGACGTAAGTGGATAATAGGTGTACAATGTAAGTCCATACTTTTGTTATAAGTAGGTGTTCATGCGGTATATTGTTGTAGCTGCCTGGCTTCCTTCATTGAAATTGGAGTGGACCGTTTAAAGAGTCGTAATTGCTGCTCCACATTCGAAATTTCTATGGGCCGCGGTAATGAATTCAAAGCGAAATAACACGCGAAATTGTGTATTTTGATTTCACTTGCAGTTAGCAGGCCTTAAACGGGACGTTTATTAGGATTACCTGCGCTAAAGAAAGCGACTGTGATTCGAAGCTGATATATAAGGAATTTGATCGAAAGATATTTTTTGTTTAAATACTTTAGCTTTAATTCGTACGAAAAGTTAATTTGAATTAACGCTAATAATTAAAGCTAATAATTAAGTTAGAATGTAATTTGCACTTTTGTACGATTTAGTTGTTCGTTAGTACGTTTTATTGACACGTTTGTAACATTGAGGAATGTCACTTAATAGAACATAAACTTTAATTAATAACATTTAAAGTATTGATTAACACAACATCTTCATTTCATTAAAACTGTTCTGATTTCTACGGTTCATTATTAAAATCGTCTAGATAAAATTTATGAAAATTTTGGAATTCAATTTTTCCAATTTCTCATTCGCTGTGCAGAATATACACATTTTAAGTATAAAACAGAGTATAAAAAATTATTCATATAGATATTATTTGAATTTTCAAATAAAAAATTTATTAGGTTCATTAGAGCTAAAATCTAAATATTTGGCTTTATATCCATATAGCTTCAAAAGAAATTTTACTAAACTAATAAAATGTTTATTTAAACATGTGATAAACAGGTTTACGTGTCATAAATCGATTGATTCCAATTTCGGTTATGTCACCCACAATCCTCAGATAAATTTTTTTAATTACCATGATATGCTAACCAAATATTAATTTTTTCTTTTGACTTGTATGTCGTTAAAATTTACTGTATGGACGTATGAATAACAAAATATATGGATTCGTAGGCTGTTTTTAGGAATTAATTTAGATCATTATGCAATCGTTAATTATTTTACAATCGATATTTAAACGTTATTATTCCTTCTAAAATAGATTTGCTTTGTCTAAATTACATATTATATTTTTTTCAAAAGTACTGCACGAGCTAGTTCTGCTCCCGTAATTATATAATTCTCTTCGCCAATATTCGCAGATTTGCACTCTAAGTGTACACTGTTAATTCAATTCGTTATCACGTTTGGCGAACTTGCAACTCCATTCCACATAAAAAGGTGAAAAATTTAGAATTCTATTTTGCGACGGTTGTTTCTATAGTTGTTAACGCGCTTGCAAACAGAACGCTGCAATGAACGTTGCGTCTTCGTTTGAAATTTAGTTATGACATATGTACACGCATACGTGGAATAATTTATTATTATTTTCCTATAGATCCTATAACCATTTATGCATTGTTTTTTTTTTTACACATTGCGAAACACCCGGAGAATTTACACAGGTGTGTCATATTTATTATCGAGTTTTGTCAATTGCCATAATTCTTACCATCGTGGTGCGACATCGTTTTTGCATCCACCGTGTCGAGTACCATGGACGCGTTGAACTCGTAAAAATTCTTCTTCATTCTTGTCACTTATATAACACTCGGGTATCAAGGTTGTTCATCGCTACGGTTGTAGGTACCCCCGTTTCGCACGATCGTTAATCATAATAAGAGCCCCTTACAGCTCGATTTTCTTTTTTTTTTTTTTTTTACCGTTGACGTTCATCAAGATAAGCGCGCGATAAATTTTTCATGTCCTCCCAGCGATTATGATAAATCAAACACATAAATTTTCCAATTAATTTAGGATCCTTGGGAAAAAACGACGGCGAAAGATAACCGGTTTATCGTAAGCATTTAGAAGGACAAAAAAGAATTTCTTAATGTAACCTGCAGTTCGTTGTTTCTGTTGACGATAGTTAGTAAAATATGGTGTCTATGGATATTACGCGTGACGTTTTTGATAGGAGTCGTGCCATCTTTAGATCGGTAAAGAGTACGTGCATCAGGTGCTTGATAAATATGCAACAACTTGCATAATGTCGTTCATTACAATATGTTCTGTTGTTATTCTATAATTGATCGTTCTTCCAATATCTAATTTATGCCGAACGCGCACGGAATGTTTTCATATTTTAGATGATACATATGTAAATGGGGCAGCTCATTAGTAGAATTAGTGTGAATTAGAATATGATTTATTTCAATGGTATCAGAATGTATATTGAAGAAGAATTTAAACTAGACCATACAAAAATTTTAATTACATTTTCAATAGCAATTATCAGTATAATTAAAACGGTAGAATTTCAGCAGAGAATTATTTTACCATATTTTAGATATTTTTTATATTGCACGCATCCTATGCAATTTTCTATCTATCAATTTAAAATTATACAAAATATTTCATTACTTTATTTCATTCTAAAACTTTATTCGATTTGTATTTTTGAATATTAACTGTATTTACAGAAATCAATTCGATTTCAGATCATTCGAGGATGACTTGTCCGTGTGTACCAGCTTCGACGATGCTGAAGATGACGCTCAAGACCCTGGGGACTACAAGCAATCAAGACGACCACAGTGGGCGAACAAAGTTCAATTTGTCCTTGCTTGTATTGGTTACTCTGTTGGTCTCGGGAATGTTTGGAGGTTTCCTTACCTATGCTACAAAAGTGGCGGTGGTGAGTGTCTGCATACGTTTACATAATTTCACTTCAGAGGTTAACAAGTTTTCTCTCTCTTCAAGAAAATTTCACTTTTACTGAGCTAAGCTGATAATCCATCGCTATAGTTTGCAATTTTAATTTCTAAATAGCAATGAAAACTCATGTAAACACCAAAAATAAAACAAACGAAATATAAATAATATGAATAAACGAGTTTAATTACATTTCTCATAATCTACACGATACGCGTAGGAAATACGCTTTGGTTCTCGTGACAGCACTTCAAGCAGATGGTTTAAAACAAATTTGTACGTGCTAAATTGTCATTGTGACACACATACGTCTGTTATGATTAGTGTGCCAGTGATAAGAATACGTGTTTATTATTGCTGGTGTGAAACGTATCGTATTTGGCGAAAAACGAACTGAAAAAAATATGTTTCAAGCTAATATATTACATAAAATAAATTTTCAGTGTCACACAACAGTCTACAAAAAATTGTCTAATCTCACGTGCATTGTTTGTACTCGTTTTACAATTCATTCTAGTACAAACCTCGCGCTATAGTTTTTCTATTAATTATATAAGAGAGTGTAAAAAAATCTGTATAGTATAAGAGAGAGATGTAATTTAATCAACATTATTTTCCTTCAGTATGTAACTTTCTTTTCGCGCAGAATTGCGATAGTTGCGCAGAGTATTCGAAACATTAACACTCGAGATATCGCATATTTTACGTCATGATGATAAAGATGCCAAACGTTTAATTTAAACTCGCATTTCAGCATTTATTGCAGCAGAAATGGTATTAAGAATGTATTATTTACATTCTCATATAATCTTATCCTATTCGTAAATTCGTAAGCAGAATGACAAGTAGATATTCATGCTGTTCGAATAAATCAAAGTAGCTTTCTTTTTTTAATTTGTTATAATTTATCCGTAATAATCAAATCATAGATATTTTTTCAAATTAAATGATTAGCATAGGCAAGCGTAGATAATCGTGTTTGATATCACTGAAATATAAAAATGAAAAAGTTTTCTTCAGCTCTTAATAGATTTAGAATATGAAACAGTGAAATTTCAAAACTGTATTCAATAAATGTAATGTTGCAAAATTTCCAACTTTTAAATACTTTAAGTTACTTATAAAACGAGTTTAATAATCGTTTTTATACAATACAAAAAAAATTGTAATTATATATCAATTTAAAAGCATATACTCATCATTGCACAAAAAATATGACAAGTATTTTTAATTATATATATTTTTAATCTTGCCAAATTTTTATATGCTATAATTCGTAATATAACTCCTGATTTTTAGTATTTTATAGTTTTGTAAATTCTCGAATATAATATACTAGCAGTAATCATAAACAAACAAACACGTTCTTTTACACTTTTACAAAATTATATAAAAGTTCCATTTTGATTAAATTCAGAGGTTCAATAGGTAAAGCGATTTATTTTACTAATCGATACAAACTTATTTAATTCCTTCTTATATTTTTCGTAAACCTTTATGATACTAAAAAATTGACTTCTAATTATTAGAATTTTTTGTAAGTTTAAATTTTGTCATTATTTAATTTATCTTATATATACATATACATATAAATATAGAGATCAGCTTTGAGATCAATTTTCTTTTATAACAATTTAAAATATCGACAATTTCTCATTGTTATTGATTCAGTTATGCTCTTCACTACATATACAATATTTCATATCTAAAATTGATACAAGTCTAACGTGATTTTGTTGTTCAAATTTTTTTTAAACTTTTCCTGTGTATGTATTTAGTTTGTTGCTATTTTTTTTAATTACGTGGATTATATAAATAAAATTCATATTTCCACTAATTAGAACAATGAATCCAATAACACCATAAACATTATAAACATCATAAACAAATACATAGAGAAATAATCTTCCAAATATCATAGTGTCTGAATAGTATAAGAGTTTTAAACTAAGTTGTAGCACCGTGGATATACTAAAGTAAGTGTATCTAAATATCTAAATTTACACTAACAAACAGTATAAAATTAAGAATACAGAAATTTTGTCTATGCCCAAAAATAGATCTTTATCGTTAATTAATTTTTTTTATTTACTTTCAATAAAACGTTTTTCGCTAAATATAAAATAGTAAGAAAATAAATATACCAAAGTCTTACATTTCTGTTTGCAAGATAGAAAACAAAATGAATGATGGTTTTCCATAAAAATTTCACTGGATGGTCTGAGTGTCATCTGCCAAGGGCGTTTCGCGGCCATTTTTCTGTAACACCCCTCTTGGCACGACATTATACCGGACATATTCAGAACAAGGACATGCATTCTCTCGGTTCGGCAAGCCGTAACACGAGTGCGTATCTTGTTACCGCTAATTTTCAAAGTCTGAGACCATCTCGACGAAGTCCGGACATGGAGCAATTCACTCGCGGAACTTGATACATGACCTTGCCGGAACGTAGCTAAACCAGCGAACATCGCAAATGATTTCAATGACACCGGTGGAAATAATCGGTCAAGTATCATTTCGACCAACCGTTCGTTAAATTGGATGACCGGAAAATCAGTGTGTGGCACGGTTTGATTTCAACCTGGCCAACTAACATGCTCGTTTCAATAACAAACCGCAATCGATCCTGACTGAAAGATTCGCTTAATTGTCACGTGTATTGTCCTTGCAAAGCGAAACGATAAACGATATATATATATATATATATAATAACAATTTATAATTTAAATGCTATGCTTTCGATTAAAGGATATTTATTGAAATGTAATTATTTATATGTTGAATCTTATACATGAAAATGTTCGATTTCTTTGAATCATAGTGAATTTAGCGTACATATAATAATTAACTTGTGCAATAATTGTTGTTTAGAGATTACTATTGAATATTTTGGTTTATAATTTTTATTTTGCTTCATTATAATGAAAAGATTGTTTGTTAATAATTATAAAATTCAACGCCCAATTTTAATACAAAAATTCAATTTAACTTACGATTGAAAATTTAAAATGTAAAGTATCCAACTATAAAACATGAAATATACTTATTTGAGAGTTGTATTAAAGGAAAGTAAACGGTGTGAAAATTTTACTAAAAAATGAAATAAAAAGTATAATGAATGAACATATGGTTTAGTTTGATATTTTACTATGTTAATGGTCCAAAACATAAATTTAAAATTATTCAGGGGTATTTGTTATATATAAAACTGTTCAATGATATATCTTCCTTTAATCACGATCGATAGTCATAAATTTTGTAGAAAATTATATCTGAATTTTGTTAAAATGTGAAACATAGTACGAAAGATAATATACTGAATAATGAATATTTCAATGAATTAAAACATTATAAAGTCATTTTTATTCTATTATAACAAAGTCTAATAATTTCTCGATTATTATGATGTCCAAATGTTAATGTATATCACTGGACGCAATCAATCAAATGTTATTTCTTTTACGTGTTATCTTCTTTTAAAATATGAAACGAAAATAGTTGAAAAAATGTGTGAAAAATTGTTTTATGAAATTAAAATAATAAATTATTTAGTATTTTTTTAATTATGAAAAAGCTATATGTGACTAGAACATAAAATATCTAATGTTCTCAAAATTATTTATTGAGATAATAAGTTGGTTTAAATTTGCAATTATATATAGCATTAAATATAATTAGAGAAGAAATATTTATTGTAGAATTATTAATTTATTAAAACATTTTCTTTAAATTATTCTTTCAAATTAATCCAATTAATATAAAAGGAATTTTAATTAATAAAAAAGATATTACAATTATAAGAATCATTTCTACAATCTAATCATTTCGTATATTATTTTTAATTCAGATAAAATTAATAATATTGATAGCCAAATCAAATTAATTAAAAATTAAGAAGTCTCAAAGATTGAATTAATCTAAAATTAAAAAATTAAAATAAATTGTTTCTTTTCGATATTAAGTTGTAAATTTTAAAATAAGTACAAACAATTATCATTATTTCATATTTTATCATTTTGTATGTAACCAAAAGTAATATATATATATATATATATATATGTATGTATGTATTACTTTTAGTTATATATAAATGATAAAAAATGGAATAATAATAATTGTTTGTATTCTTTTAAAATTTACAATTAAAGTATGGAAATAAAGTGGAATGAATAATTAATTAAAATATGAGAAAAAAAGATCATATTAGATGTAAGTGTAATATATATTTATAACATAAAATTGATATATTAAGAATATAATAGGAATTGATAATTATCATAAATAAATGACTTAATGCAATGATAGATAAAACAAAAATAAAAAGGAATAAATAAATAAATGCATACATACATAAACGAGTAAATTCGTAAAGTTAGATTTACTTATTCGCCTGCAATACGTCGTAGTATATAACACTTCTCAATGAAACTGAAAAAATATACCAGTTTTAGTTTATACAAAATTATGCTTGTTTATCATACGTATATTTCATTTTCTTATAAATAGAAAGATTTATAAAAACCGCCTTTGAAAGAGCATTTCATTGACTGAAATGAAGATTCATAGAATATGAGATAGAGTACTCTGATTTGCATGAGACTCGGGGCGTATTTGTGCAACCGGTGTTCATTTACGTTTTCGTGGGAAAATCCATGCTGAAAGGAACGGACGGGAACTCCGCAAAAATTAACGTTATCGCTTCCATTTAAAGAGATACATACATTTACCGAGTTCTCACATTCATACAGCTACTTCTAATCAAAATATATATACTGAAACTTGTGATATTATTTCTAAATAAATTAATTAGAAACGAAAAAAGAATGTTAACTAATGGAATGAACAGAAGAGCAAAAAATAGTCAGAAAATTCTTTTAAAAATCAGAAGTGAAGAAAAAGAATGACAGAAAACGTTATTGTAAAATTACAATATTCGTCGAATTATCTTGTTTATTAAATTACACCATGAATCACAAATTCAGATGAGAGAATGCTGTCTGATTTGTTCGACCAGGACGAAACAACATTCGTAGAATTAATTTACATGTGCGTGAGGCGCACTGATGCGGCACGAATTATTTCAATGATTTAACCGGAAATAATAGCCGTTATAGTGGATGAATTCGAACTTTTGCCACAGATATTAAAATTTATCATTATTTTATTAGTTCGAATTTATTATGAAGCATTTTTTTTCATCGAAACTAGATGAGAAAAATTCGAACTTGAAAAACTAAGACGAAAGACAAATCAATATAGAAAATTATAAATAACAAAAATAATGTTTGTCAACTCTTATTTCCCTGTCTTTGATTGTTTTTGTAATAGATTTTAGTTCTTTATATAATTGCTCTGAATGTTATCTGTCATTATATTACAAAAAAACCGTCATCAATAAATTAAATTAAATTATCAACTTATGATTTTCATGACTTGAAGTAAAATATTTCTAAATAGATATAGAGAATAACGTATGACTGTAATTAACTTAAAAGTATTTAGTAGTGCTAAGGTAATAATTTTTCAAGAAGAAGCACTAATCATTTAATAAAAACTTCAACTGAGATTTGTAAGTTGATCAAAATATTATTCATATATAATATAAATAATAAAATATAAATATAATATAAATATAATATAATAAAATTAATATAATAATATATAATATTATATATATATATAATAAAATTAAAATTATAGATTGTAATAGTATTAATTTAATAATATTTAATATCATTATTATTTAAGAAGGCAAAAACTCAACTAAAGTCGTGTGACGAACTTGTTCGATTAATTTTGCTTTGAATTTAATTCAAATTTAATTTTGATTTCAATTCAAAAAAATTGTTGCAGAGATTTTTTAACAAAATTTAATCGTTTCTAACTTTTTCAGTTCCTAATCAATTGCACGAGCAACATTCCTTGACATTAAGACAGAGAAGTACTTATACGTTCGTATGACGTATTCGTTGAGGAGAGGAAACGAATAAATTTGCTTAACTCGAGAAATCGTAGTATCACGCGACATGAGCTAGCAATTATGAAGCCAATTAATACAAAATATGAGTATTCGTATAACAGTGTTCGAAAACAAAGCTCGTACATGTATAACCTGTTGTGAAAAAAAAAGAAAAACAATAACGCATTTCAGCAATTTGGCCGAACTAAATGCTTGTTCCCAAATTAAGTCGTAATCCACGGGACTGTGATCACCGTTTATTACGAATAAAGAGTTACATCCAGTGACCTTGTTACTACCCACAGAATGACGATTAACGACGAGTACTATTACGTACGAGTCGTGTTTAATGCAACCTTTAATAAATCCACATTATACGCAGATTTAACAATGTTTTTATTCGAACGTGTGCGCGTATAAAGGGATTAAAAGAGGAAACGTTTATTCCTTATCTATAGGACTACTGAGTCGTGAACTATAGTAATTAATAAACAATTTTACGTATCTAGATTTTACGGAATGTAGAGTTACATATGCTTCGATATAATTCTATCAGTATTTCCTCTTGACTCGAAATAAATTTAAAATTTAAAATCGTTTATAACTATTGATATAAAATGTAAAGAATGTTTAAAATTTAATTGTTAGGTGAATTTATAAATTTTTAATCTCATAGATGTTTTATCTCGTTTGTAAAGTTTGGCTTAAAATTGTACTTTAGCTAAAATTTGGCTTAAATTTTCGCATGATTTTGCAAATCGTGTTCAAAAATTTTTAATTAAGAAGACTAGAGAAACTGCTATGTTTTTGTATTGTAAAAATAAATATGATTTATATAGGGCATAAAATAGTAATTTAAATATAAATTAACTGGCGTATGATCTAGATTGAATAATTCTTTTGAATAGTTCAAATGAAACGTATAGAGGACATATATGTTATAAAAGATATAGACGTTTTTATAAATTACTATATTGAAATTATTTTTTGAGTATCTCAATCGACTACAATTAAATTACATTTTTTATACAATTTTTCAGGTGTCTTCTTGGTACCTTATTTTTTAATACTTATTGTATGTGGAATACCATTATTGTACATGGAACTTAGTATTGGACAATTCACACGACGAGGACCGATCGGTGCTCTCGGCCAAATTTGCCCCTTATTTAAAGGTATATTAAAATTCTATAAAACAAATTAACAATTTATTAATTATAGAAAAGTAGCATTTGTTAAGAGTACATATTATATTGATCAATATATTACAATAATTATTACAAAAGTCGGTAAATCTGAAAATATTATTTATTAACAAAAACTAAAAAATTTGTGTCTTATAATAAATTTAAGCAATCAATTTTTCTGAGATGCTCGCTAGTATTTTGAATTAATTACTATTTAAAAACAAAATAAATTATTGAAATATTATAAATGTATTTGACATTTATAATCTATTCAAAATTTGTTCAACAAAATTGTATTTTATTTTTAATTTTTGGTTCATTAATGGTTTTTTTTTTATTACTTGTATTATTTTTTAAAGTATTTGACTAAATACTTAACAATTTGAAAATTTTTAATAGCAAAAGATAGATACTTGTACAATAGCGTGGATACTTAAATACTGTGTTTAGAATTATGTATGTATACACACACATTAGTCTTATGTATCTTTAATTTCTTTTAAAACTAAAACAATCGATAACAACCTAGTTTTTTCAAATATTAAGTTGAACCAAAATAATCAAAATAATCAAAATAATCAGTTTGTAATTTTTTTCAACTTTTTATAGAAATTTTTATAGATTTATAGATTTAGAATAGTAAATAATTGAATAATTATAGTAACAGTAAATAATTATAGTAATAGTAAATAATTATACTAATAGTAAATAATTTGAATAATTTTAAAAAATATGAGTCAATGCTTGTGTTCGGTATTGCGCCATAAACTTTTTTCTATTCTTTAGAAATTATTTTATATTAATATTTTTCATACTTTAGTCGTCAATAGTTAATTTAACTAGATTTATCGACGAGTAAAGTATCACCTGTATCAGGAAAATTTAAGTGTAAAAAATAGGAAAAAATTTATAATAAAATAAAGAATCGAAATTCTAAAATAAAGAATACGAGTGCTACATTTAGAAAATTTTTATAAAAAATTACTATTACTACATCTAGAAAATTTGTATAAAAAAATTACGAACTGATCATTTTAATTACTAGTTTATTGTGGTTTTGTTGTTAAATATGATAGAAAAATATTTTACTCATATATCCCCTCCCATTGCAAGTATCACGATTATCATTCATTAATTCTTTAATAATAAGAATATAAAAATTATTTAATAATAATAATTTGTTAAGAAAACGAATTGATCTTTTTTCTTAACAGGAGCTGGCTTATCTTCGGTAGTAATATCATTTTTGATGTCAACCTATCATAATGTGATAATAGCCTACGCCATTTATTATTTCTTTGCGGCGTTCAGAGCAAAGCAACCGTGGTCCGATTGCGACAACTCATGGAATACTCCGGCATGTTGGTTACCTAGTGCCATCGATAATAGGACAAAACTAAACGCTTCTAGAACACCGGCTGAAGAATTTTTCGAGTATAATTTCCTTAATTATCACTTAGTTGTTAATCGTGCATTTTGAATTTTAAAGTCCTCAGAAAAGTTTCATCCGTCTCTTGTGTCAATTTTTTAAATAAAATTACACGTAAAGTCTATTTTTCTGATATGTAACATATATTTTTGACATTTTTCACAGTATATGCCGCCAAAGTTGCAAATATTCGTTTTAACTTTAAAGAATAAAGTAATACCTTGCTTTCTAATTATTGCAATTGTACATCCAATCCTTTCAAAGATGTGTATAAGCATTTATATAGTTTTAAATATAGTTATACGAAATGAAAATATTAGAAAAATAATCAGAACGTTTGGCAAAACTAGCTCACGATGTGAAATTAAAACACTTATATGTTAGAATAGAATCTTAAATTTTGTGAAATTTATATTACTTATCATTAGTAAAAGGATCTGCAAATTTATTTACACTTTTCATTATTAATCTTTATTAATTGTTTACTATTTGACAGCAAGGGACAAATTAAGTTTAAAAAATGAGGGACGGATGAGGATTAAATAATTGCTTATAGTATTTAATTGTAATTAATTAAATTAGAATTTATTATTAATTGTAAATATTTATTTATTTTCTTGTCCTATTATCTGGCAATTTAGCAACAAAGTACTCCAAATTAGTAATGGAATCGAAGAATCAGGGGCCTTAAGATGGGAGCTTGTTGCTTGTCTAATTACTGCCTGGATTATGGTATATTTCTCCGTTTGGAAGTCGATAAAATCATTGGCACAAGTGAGATACCTGACCGCGACTCTGCCATTTCTTTTAATCGTCATCTTCCTCATGCGATCTGTTACCCTTGAAGGTGCTGACAAGGGTCTACAATATTTTTTTCATCCCAGTTGGGAGCTACTTCGCAATTCAAAGGTAATCCAAGATTACATTTTCTTCGTTCTCTAATGACACGTACTCTATCATTTGATAAAGTACGTAACATCCGAGTTATTTTAATCTGAATGGAGTGCGAATTTTATGCAAATATTTAAAAATTAAAAATATAAAACCTCGGTATTACGTATCAAATATAAATATTTTATATTTTGTAATATGGATATTTTATTATATATATTTTATACGCTTTATATATTTTGTATATTTTAGACATTTTATATTTTATACATTCTTTATAGATATTTTGCACATTTTTTCGTATGCTGTACATTCTGTACAATTTTATACTTTCAAATTATCTATAAATGCAAAAAGATTTTCATTTACATATTTTAAGCATTTCTATCGCCATTAACATTCTAACTTGTATTTATTGTCTTACTATACATTAGTTAGAAATGTTTTGACACAAATCGTTAACTGTACTTTTAAATATTGACTGAATTAGATAATAATATAACGTTTTTCATTATTTACAGTTTTATTATTTGTTAAAAAATCATAAAAATACAATTTTGATTATGTATTTTTCTAAGTAATATAATTCTAGTTCTTAGATTAATTAATTTTCCTTTTTTAAAGTCGTACATTAATCTCTAGAAAATAAAAGTGGGTCCAATTTTCTTCAAATTTATGATGATTTAAATCATGTAAAAAAATTTAGTGCTTCCGTAATGTTATTTAATTTTATATAACTTTTTATTCAAAGTTTCGATTCAAATAAGAAAATATTTAGAATCAACTTGTGAAGCTACGAATGCAGATTTTGGTCTTCAAAATGCATTCAAGTAGATTATAAGATGATTTTTTTTAGTTAGAACAAAGTTCAGCAATTTCTTGAAAATTTAGTGATTCCTTCATTTGAATGTCATATTACTATTTTAAAAATGATGGAAACATCTCTGACAAAATAATGAAAAATATTAAAAGTAATTATATTAAATTATCATTTTCGTTAGATATAATTTGTTTATTATTGTAAGTATCTAATTTTTCGAATTTTATTACAATATCGTTTCTTTATTAATTCTCAATTAATGTTAGAAGTTGAAAGAGACTATTGATTCATATGTTGTAAAATTATATTTATTTTAAAATTACTAAATTTTCGCATTATGTGTAGGTTTGGATCTATGCAGCCGCTCAAGTTTTCAATTCTATGGGCATAGCGTTTGGTTCGATGATATGTTTCGCAAGTTACAATAAGTTCCATAACAACATCTTAGTAGACAGCATTGTTGTTTCTTTTATAAATGCGTTCAGCAGCCTGCTCGTTGGAATATTTTCATTTGCAACCATCGGCAACATCGCTCTTGAACAAAATATGTCTGTCAAAGATGTTTTAACAGATGGTACGTAAAACTATTTATCTCTTATTTAGCAATTATAATTTTAATCTCCTTGTTACATTAAAATGATTTACCTCATTGATATAAATAAATATTTTAAATATAGCAATGCTAAGGTATTTATCATCAATTTTCTGTAATAATAATTTAATACATCGTTTCGAAACATATAATGTTAAACAGTTTCTTCTTTAATAAATATAAATATATTATTAAATAAATAAATATTTAATTCATTATTCATTTGTTATTCAACATAATAAAAATATTCTATATTTTTTTCGTCTGAATGGTGTCAATCAATGTCAGATTAACTTCTCCTACAATTTTATAGACAAATCATAATTTCCGTTCAAGGACCTGGCCTCGTATTCGTTCTTTACTCGCAAGCGTTAGCCAAGATGCCAGCATCACAAGTGTGGGCCGTGTTATTTTTCTTTATGCTAGTCTGCCTTTCTTCGAATAGTCAGGTACGCGACAATCTCGATTAATATGTATGTGAATCGCTTATTTAATTAGTACAATGTGAAAAATCAATACAAAGTTCAAATAGATCGATACCGAGTAATTTTACTTCTTATATATTATAATGTTTCTGTTTCATGATAATTTCAGTTTACAATAGTGGAAGTAGTTGTAACGTCGATACAAGATGGTTTTCCGAAATGGGTGAAACGTCATCTCGTGTGTCACGAAGTTTTAGTACTTTTAACATGCGTTATATCCTTTCTATTTGGTCTGCCTAATATCTCACAGGTAAGATGCTTTATTAGAGTAAAGTAGTATTTAATTTGTAATTTGTAATTAATAGATGTAGCTAATTTTAAAATTTTTCATATAACAGTGGTAATGATATTTCTCTAAATACCATTTTATTATAAGAATGAAAAGATCTCGAATAGTATTCCTATGTGATTATATTGGATGTATAAATATTTATTGTATTCTTATTATTGATTAATAGAAAAACAATTTATATGCTGCATGATAATAAAAATTTATTACTGAATATATATTTTGAATAATTATGTCATTAAGAATATTTTATAAGTATATGCACGTATTGACGAATTAAACAAATCTAATTCTAAAAATTGTGTATGTATTTTTATTATGAAATCTATATTTTTAAATATTATAAACATTATATTTTTTTATGTAAATATTGTATAAATTTTAACTGAATAATTAATTTGGAAATATAATTAAACAATTCTCAAGAAACTACACATGGAAAATATTTAACTAATTGTAAGGCCAATCCTACATCCAATTACAAATTATTCTAATAACTTAAACATCATATAATATAAGTTAAGCACACATATTTGCTCCACATACATATTTATACTGTTATTAATGAAATTCTCTATATTATTTTTGTTTTCAGGGTGGCATTTACTTTTTTCAATTGATAGATCACTATGCTGCCTCGATATCAATAATGTTTCTCGCTTTCTTCGAAATAATTGCAATATCCTGGTGTTATGGCGTAAGACGGCTGTGTAACAACGTGAAAGAAATGACTGGACGCGTACCATCCTCGTACTTCTGCTTTTGTTGGCTTATCGCTGCACCTCTTCTTATCATGGTAAAGTTAATCATGACGTTTTTCAAAATAAATAAACAACTTTATCCGATAAATAAACAAATTTATCCGAACAAGTTATCGCACAAAAAAAGAAATCTTAAAAATAGAATCAACTTTGAAATAAAAGTGAGAAATATGATTACAAAAACGAATATTTGTCATTCGTATCAATTTTCTTTACATCTACTTCTTTATATCGATTTTGTTTGTATTATTCGTAGACACCTTATCAAATAATTTTATAAATCTAATCAAAAGAAATATTTGCACAATCGGTAGATATTAAATTAATTTAGTTAATGTTATATTAATCAAATTTTGCCAATTATGTAGATATTGATAATTTATGACTGAATATTGAAAACAATTTTATATGTTTTCTTGGAACAGAGTCAGAAGAAAAACATTACAGTATTTTTCTTAATGATTAAGCTATTTTACGTAAAGATAATTTCAAAAACAAAATCATTAATCATATTTTATGAAAAATAAATAAATTTCTGAACGTTTATTATTCAGGACAGTTTTATGCATGTTTTGTACCGAAAAATTTTAATTAATTTTATGAGATATGTTATAAATAATAAATTTTTCAACAATACATGTAACTATTTAATACTAAATTACTAATCTTCATTCATCTAATATTAAACCTTTTATCATATAATACAATAGTCGTAGGAGGAAATATTACTACAAACAGTGTATAAATATATTTTAATGCAATATTACGATAATAAAAATCCCGTTCTAATTATTCTATTCTTATTATATAATTAAAAATAATTATAGAATTATAAATAAATATAATTATCGAAGATATAAGACACAATATGTATATGAAAATTAATATGTGATGAAACTTTAATAATATTTGATAGTGTATACTTATAAATCAAACATCTTTCTATACAGCATGGAATATGTACATATAATATTTGTATAATTTATTGTACCCAGATGCAAATTCATATAACGCAATACTTGTATAACGTGATCAAGAAATTGCGTTCCCTTGTATAACACGATTTAAAATACTTTATATATATGCAATGACAATATTCAGACGTCTAAATATTTGGACACTAAATATTGAAAGTGTTATAATTTTATAAAAAGAAATCTTACAATAATAAATTTGGGCACGTTTTAAAATTTGAAGCTTCTACTTTCAAAATGTTCAATTGTCCATTTTACTTTAAAATGTCTTACATGTAATCACATTTTAATTATAACGATGTCAATTAGAGGAAATTATTTAAAAAGATATATTCAAAAAATGAATACAACTGTAATAACTTTAAATACTTGCAATTTTAATTTTGCACATTTTTTATAGATATATATATATATGTAAATTATATTTATATACACTTATATACATTATATAAACTATTTAAATAAATCTATATATAATATCAATAAATATAACATATGTATAATCTGACATTGTATGAAAATTGACCGTCGCGGTAGACTGCGTACTATATTCCAATAAATCACTGTTTCAGGCTGTGTGGATATTCAGCTTAATTGATTATGTGCCACCGACCTACCACAAGTACAAGTACCCATGGTGGGCAGAAGCGATCGGTTGGGGAATAGCTTCTCTTTCGCTCATTTGCATTCCCGCTTTCGCTATCTACGAGTTCATCAGAGCCAACGGCAACACTTGTGCGGAGGTACGATAACGCGAACCCTAGCGCGAGCCAGTGATTAAAATTTCATTCCACGCGCCATTGCCACCCATAATTTGCCTACTTTGTCTTTCAGAAATTACGGAACTCTATTAAGCCGCATTTCGAAGCGTGTAAAATTTGTGGCCAAGAATACTGTAACGAGTCTTTGCATAATTTTGAGGAAGATGTGATCAAGGAGCAACAAGACGTGAACAGTCCGATGCAACTGACTATTCCTCTGAAATCTCAGACATGACGTCATGTAGTGAATCATTCGGAAATATGAGTCATATAAAGTATTTCTCAAGGTTGGGCAAATTTTATTTGAAATAAAGATAAAAAAATAACAATTTGAAGTAACAAATTTCCGCTAATTTATTATTTTTGTCGAAAAGAAATACTTTAAAAGACTTAACTTTATATCGAGTCTAATCATTTGCAAATAATCTTTTATTTTATTTAATTTATTGAAATTAAATAATAATTAATCCTAACAGAAAGTAAAGTTTACAAATAGAAGTTACAATAGAATAAAAAATTATTTGAGAAATTATTCGATAACTAAATAATCAAATAATTCAGGGAAAAAACCATTTGCTTGTTTAAATAACGTAGAATTATTTCAGGATAATATCAAATGTCAAATAAGATGATACATTATTTAAATAATCATTTTTCAAACATTTTATTTAAATAATGCACAACTTGGTATTTTTAGAAATAAATAATGCGTTTATCTGGTAGAATTAATACCCGTTAATTTCTTGTTCTTCGTTAGTATCACACATGAATTTACTAATAAATATTTGCAAAACGTACAAAGGCTGCCAGAGTCAAAAGTAAGATGGTACATGAACTTTTTTTGACTTTTTTCTTTCGTTAGTCACATAAAAGAGTCACAAATATTTACAAATGTTTTTGAGTGCTATGAGTACTGGCGGTAGTTCAAAGAAATTTTGCATAACTCTATTCGTATCCACCAACCATAAAAAAGGCTTCTGAATGTTTGTGAGTCACCTGGCATGGTGGAACCTTACGGTAAAGAAACAATTAATTAGAAAACCATTGGTTTGCTCAAATCTATCAACATCGATAATTATACTCCAGCAAACAAGTCTAGCAAATTTACGATGAGATTAAATACATTCATTCACATTTACCACGAATTTACGATATTATGTATTTTTTTTTTTTTTTCTATATACAATATTATTCTTTTTATTTTTATTTTTTAATTATTTATTGAAAAATTGGATATGAAATGTAATATTTATATTATAAATAGTTTGTGACTTGCATATTTTTATTTTACTGATCAAAAACAGATTTGATATTTAAATATCTTTAATGATATTTAAATATCTATTATTGAAAGAAATATTAAAATTAGCTTATTAAAAAAAAAAAGAGCATGGTATTTCACAAAGCTAATGAAGGACGACAACTAAAATAATCCGTAGTCACAGAAACATTCAAATGTGTTTCGTGCTTCCATATTGTAATATTTCATTTTGAAATAAGAACTTTTTCAAACATCTACATACATAAAAACTAGATCGATATCATTTGGTCGTACCAAAAAAAATATGTGCAACATGATAAACTGGAAGTATTTACAACAGTTACGTTCGTGTTTATTAACGTCAAGTTTATCGAATATAATAATCAAAAAAAAAATTCGTGAAATCTGATAAATCAACTAATTTAGTTTTCAATTATGTATTCTAGTGTTGTATATCTTTTAGAATACTTCGTACCTATATAAATGATCTAAACATTAATTTACTTTATGATTCTTCTTTAGCTAAAGCTAAATGATAAAAGTAAAGAAATTGATAAAAGTAACTGCATTTTTTGATGTATGAAACTTACATATCTGTTGCTCGTATCATATATTTGTTATTTATTATATTCTAACTAATTTTTAACGTATTTAAATACTTTGACACGTACAATATTTCGGATTATTTTAATAAGAAATGAAATACAAGTTATCATATTAAAAATATTTATGTCAAATATGATTATAAATTGAATCATATGATCAGTAATTGAATAATGCAATATTGTTTTTGGTTCAACACTTTGTTTACTTAAAACAAAAACTCATGTTTCATAATTTTTAGAATCACTCTATATTTTACATAACACTATAATAAAGTGTTAACATTTAGCTATTTCGATTAAATTGTCAGTGAGTGGGAAACGCAAAAAATTGTATAATATACAATAGCATGTCATTAGAATAAAAAGAATCACTCTTAATAAAAGAAAATAGTTACACTTAACAGCGTCGAAATGTATTGCTGTATTTTAAAAGCTTAAAAAGACATTTGATATTTCATTGCACTTTACAATTACCAATTCACATGTGTGTTGTTTAAAGATTAGCCGAAATAATACTCAGTTACCATTGTTATTCATTCTGTTAATATTAAAAATAACAACATCCGTTTAATATCATTCACGGTAGAAACATACATTGGTACAATGTCATAATCAGACACTCTGAATAATATATCTAATAATTACCAGTCGATATACATTTAGATGAATATATTAAACAATGAGTACAAATGCTAACGTTTTGTATATGTCGTACTTGTATATTGTATTGGATATATAAGTAGTGCCACTGGAAGCGATTATTAAACGAAGACAACGAGGAACAATTACATAAGCTTGTTAACAACGTGAATGTACATGTTATAAGAATAAATATTGTTAAACGTAATCCATCGAATGTGTCAAATTTAAAAGACAATAAATTAGTGTATAAAATCAAATTGTCAATTACAAAAAGACATCGAGCACATTAGTTTGTAATTATTCAGACCTGTAATAAATTATTTTATTCTCATATTACCTATTATTTTCAAATATATTTACACTCATCTTATATTAATTCTCTATAATACTAATACCTATATATGTACACATGTTTATTATTATAATCTTATTATAATAAATTAATTTAAAAAATCCTAAATAATAATAGAACTACTTCTAAATTTACATATAAATATAAATAAAATTATTATATATAAATATAAATAAAATTATTATATATAAATATAAATAAAACTATTAATATAAAAAAATAAATAATAATTATTAAAATATTTTTAGAACTATTAAATATTACAATTAAATTTGAAAATTTACGAAGTAATCTATTCATAACTTTATAAATCCATAAGTTGTACATACACTTATTAAGATAAAAACTAAGAAATTATTCAAGAGATTATTGTACATAAACATAAATATATTGTACATAAACTGAAAATAAAAATAATGTGAAGAGTTAATATATAAGTATTTTTTGGAATCTACTTTTATAAAGATCATAATTAATATTGAAACAAAAAATCAGATAAAATTTAAGAAACATGTCGTGTTTGATTTATATAATTATTTTTAATGAAAGCAACAGCCTTTAAACATGTATAATTTTCGTGGAATTTCATTTAAAATTCTTTTCAATCAATTTATTATTTAGCTATTAATTAATTTATATTTAACGTTGGAATTATGAAAGAAAATTTTCAAAGATTCAATTTTTTTTTATTATGTTTTCCGCTTGAATGTATGAAATTTAAAAAAAGTGAAGCGTTTATGTTGTGATAAATTATTGTTTGACCCTTAATCCTCAATTATTTAATCACATAATACAATGTAGTAAAAATAAACATACATATTTTTTAAAAAGTCTATGTTAATGCCCTAAAGTTTGATACTTTCTATTTTTATTTTATTTCTAAAGAAAATTTTCTTTTTATTTCTGAAAAGATTTAATCTTTAAGGCAAAATTAAGTTTTCTTCCTCTTTTTTTTGTTATTGTAAAATGAAAGAATTGGATTTTGATGCAACTCTCTCCACATAACCGATGCATTGATCTTATATAAGTAAAAACTCTCTTACGCGACAATCTCTCTGCTTGGTGGCGAGCGAATCCTCATAAATTAAATTGGATTTACCTAATCACATTATTAGTCTTTGAATACTGTTCCAGGCTAGAATCTAGTCATTCGAGTTTTGTGCCACTCCAAGTTCACTTCAAAATACCCAGAAACTAAACCACTTTGTTCACAAACCGGAAAACTCTGCAATATGACAAAGAAGTTCGAATTTAATTGGCAAATCGAAGTGCCAGAACTGTTGAGAAATGGTTCAACGTTCGATCGTTGGTTCGAAGACAAGGAAAACACCGAGTACGAACCGAATTGCTTATTTAAAGTCGATGAATATGGATTTTTCATTTATTGGAAGAGCGATGGCAAGGTAGATTCTTAAAATTCATCCCTCGTTTAAACACAAATTTCCCGACAGATATGTACAGAGTTTGAAAATTTCACGAATATGAGAAATATTTAAAAATTTTAATATTTATTATATTTTTAAAAGAAAGTGTTTTCAGAAAAAATTTAGAATAATTTTTAAAAAGATGATGCTTCCTATATTTGTTTACTAGAATAAATTTAAAAAAACTCGCAAAATCTACTGTATATATATTATGATGCATTATATTAAAGTATATAAATATACAATATTGAAGTATTAAAAGTATTCAAATATAAAGTGTTGTGAAGTGTGAAATATAAATGTGTTACATTTATCGTAATTTATACTTATATTTATCGCTTATACCGTTATATTTATCGCTTCGTTTTTAATTAATTTATAATGAATATCATTAATTGTTGTAAATAATCTTATTGAATTAATTGCTTTTTAATATACTGCAACAGAAGTATATTATTCTAATAGAAGATATTATTTCATATATTTGTTTATAATAATTTTATCGAATTAATTATTTTTTAATCTAATAAACTATTGCTCAGTTAATAGAAACATTAATTTTATTTATTCATGCCCACAATTTTTTTGCAAAATAAACTAAATAATGGCAAAATTAAAAATTGCAAAAATATTTGGATAATGAATTTTATTAATTTTATATTTAGAAATATATATATATATTTAAAATATTTGGAATTAATATAAATTTGATATAATTTGTTTATTGTCCAAATCTTTTTTGTGACTTCAACTTTGATTATTATTTAGTTAATCGCCTTTTATGCAAAAGCTATGTGCATAAAATAAATAAAATTTATATTTATATTAACTGAGTAATAGTTTATTAGATTAAACAATAATTAATTCGATAAAATTATTATAAACAAGTATGAAATAATAATAAACTCTGTAGTATCCGAATATTAATAAGAGTCACTCTATAATGTTTTTTTAAAAAATATTATTAATATTTTAGAAATGACCTTTAATTAATAAAACAATTAAAATCCATAGAATGTCCAAAATATTTTTCTAATTTTCTTTTTAAACATTTCAAGTTTGACTTATAATTTATGTATAATATATTGTAGAAATTTTGCAAATATTATAGAAATATACAAATAGAAAAAAATTTGAATATTTAAAATGTAGACTTTTGTGACTGCTTGTAAATACATATACGTAAAAATATAGTCTCATTAAATAAATTTACTTTAGTTTCTGATATTTGATTCAAGTAAGTATTTTTCAATTATAAATCTTTTTATACAGGACGGTGATGTGATAGAGTTAGCTCAAGTGAGTGATATTCGTTATGGCGGTACACCAAAGGTAAATGACGCGATAATTATTTGTTTAAAGTTTTATAAAAATTCATTGTGTAATAATTGACTTTTTATATATATTAAATAATCTGTACCTAATCTGTCTGTAAAATTTCGTAGGATCCTAAATTGTGTAATAAAATAAGTAAACACGGGTCAATGGATGATATAGACCAGAAAAGTTTAACTATATGCTCGGGTATCGATTATACTAATATCCATTATCAGCATGTTATTTGTGCAGACGCAAAAACCGCTAAGGTAACAAAAATAACAACGGATGGTAATAAAATATTTTTCCTATCGTCTTAATTGTGCATTTAATTATCATATTTCTTGAATTAAATATTCATCTGATCTAGGATTGGCAAACTGGATTACGGATAATTACGCACAACACGAAAGCTTCAAATGTTTGTCCAACGACTCAACTAATGAAACAGTACGTAACATTTACATAAATTTTATTACTTTATACATGAATATATTAACTTTACTTTACAAATGAATATATCAAACACAGTTCTATATTAATTATTAATTAAACATTTCGCGCTGGTTAGTTAAAAGTATGTCCTCTCTATGTAATCATTAGACTGCGAATATTTATACCAATTCATATTTTGATGAATATAATTAAAAAATGGGACTTAGGCAGAACTACTCTATCTAATAATAATTTAAAAAATTTGAATTCTCTTTATAAGAAAAGCAGAATTTTTTTCAGTATAAAATATTGTGACAAATACTATTTTTTGAATACTTCACGTATTTTTGCATTTTCAAATTTTCTAAATCTAGCAATCATCTATCTAATCACTTTTATTATTTATTATTTTTGTGAATGTTTTTTTGTCTCCAGTTTAATAGCAAAATGTTAATAATCAGCGCAGATGATTGTTAGAAAAGTCTGTGACTTTTCATTCTTCGAGAATTTCCTTTACACTCTAAAAACTTATAACATTTACAATCAATCTTTTTGATGTTCAAAATTTTACTCTGAAACGAAAATAATTATAAATGTTATAAATGTTATATTTATGTAGAAAATAGTATACTTTCATTTTCAAATCAGCGAAAACGATACAACAAATAAATCTTTCTAATTTATATTTTAAATGTCGCTATAATTAAATGGGTACGTAGATATATTAAATCTTCGTTATCTCAATATTTAATGATTGAAATAAACTTACATTTAGGTCCTATTTTTTTCATTATGTTCATAAAAATATGAATCTATATTAAAAGATAAATCTGTAGTAATCAATTGAACATTGTAATTATTTTTGCAAAATATTTATATAATGAAGGATTTGCAGCGCTTAAAAAATACATTTTACTTGATCTTATTTAAAGTTAAATATATTAAATTTTCATGTGAAAATATGAATTTATTCAGTAATTTCAATAAAAGTTACGATAACTTTTTTACAGTGTAATTTTAAATTTTAAAAAGTATAAATATTCTCGCCAGAAATCAAAAAGAAAAAAATTACAAATACTAATAATATGATAATGTCATGTTAATGTCAATGAATTTTTAATCATAATTTTTATGTATCATTAGTTGGATGAGATTGAGCTTTCAAGTGGATCCTAAAGGGAAAGTACCCGTGAAAGTTATATCAAAGACATTTGCCTCAGGGAAAACGGAGAAACTAGTTTATCAAGGGCTAGCAGACTTAGGTTTACCTAGTGGAAAAGTAAGTTTTCTATTTAATATAATCTTATTCTTATAAAGCTGTATATTATAAACAATACTAAGTACAGTTTCTCATATCTGGACTCTGTTATTCTAATAGATACTCTAATATCTATGTATATTTACGAGTCCGAATACACTATTTACCAGTATGAACTATTATCATTTACTGATATTTATTTACACCATTACTATTAGCAATAATAGAAAATAAGTATATGATTTTATGATATGATTCTATTTAAAGAAATAGAGATGACCTTAAGATCCCGGGAATACCTCCATTTGGACAAATTAATTTTTATTCAAAATATATATAAATAAGTTATTATAAAATATTAATATAAATAAGTTATTGTAAAATATCGTTCTCGAAACAGAATGAGTTTTACTTCAAATTATTTTTTTAAAATAATGAATAGTTGCGAAGATAAGGTGGAAAGATTAAAATAGGACTGTATATTATTATATTGCACATTATTATATTGCGATGAAAATTATGCAATCTAAGAAAACACGATTTTCGAGTTATCATATATATGAAAATATTACAGAAATAATCCTCGACCAAATAAAAAAGTTTCATTCATTAATCTACTTAATTTGACCGATGAAAAGAATTATTTCATTTAGATAACTTTTTAATGCATTTTTAATGCATAAACAAAAAATACCATAAAAACTCTATACTAAGAGTTTTTGAATTTTCAAATTGAATTTCAAATCGAGTAAAAATAATTCAACTGAGAAAACTACGTATGATCAAAGAAACGACATTTTATGTACAACAGCCTAATATTTCAAACAGCTAAAAATTATTTGCAATCACAAACTAATCCATAATAATAAAAATAATAAGTCTGAATAAAAAACATTTATATAAATATTATCATGTTTAGAGCGATAAAATTGAACCTAAGGACTTTACGTTCGACAAATTTAAGAGTATGTATTTCAAAATTTGCCCTCGGAACGATATCGAAGAATTATTTCAATCGATGTAAGTACTGGTTGTATCGAGAAGTAAAACCATTGTAAACTGCATCATAAATCTCTTGAAATAATGATTGCTATTGGTATTACAATGGTACATTTCAGAACCAAAGGGAAATCGGATACAATCAGCCTGGGTCAATTAGTACAATTTATGAACGAGAAACAAAGAGATCCCCGATTGAACGAAATTTTGTATCCCCTTTATGACGAGAAACGATGCACAGAAATAATTAACGATTATGAACAAGATGAAAAAGCAAGGGATGCGAGTAAGTTCAGTTTTTAATTTATAGTATATAGAATGTAGAATTATAGTATGTAGAATTATAGAATTTTAATTCTGTTTTTTCCCTTTGTTTCTTTCCATAATATTTAATATCACAATTATAGGACAATGGAGATTATGGGTAATACAGTTTGTTTAAAAAGAAAATATCTTAAATGTTTGTTTGCTTGTTTTGTCATAAAGTTCATATATTGAAGTTATTTTGTTATTTTACGTCTTATTGTGTAGAATAATAAAACATTGATATTCTACACAATTTGTTTAGAATATAATTTATAATAATAAAACATTGATATTCTACACAATTTGTTTAGAATATAATTAAATATAATTAAAAAATTAGATGAGAAAAGATATTTGAAAATTTTTTTTAAATTGAAAGATTTTTATAAAAGTACATAATTTTGAGAAAATTTACTTTTTTTTTTATTCAAATATATTGCTTGGTACCACTATTTAAATTTTATGTTTATACATCTCAAATTTTATTTTTGTTTCCACACGATGGCCTTAAAACAGAATTTCAAAATTTAATCTTTTATTTGTAATTCTTGAAATCTCGCACATTGTTTAATATCTATATTTATTACACGTAATTTCAAGATAAATAGCAAAAGTAATTTTTTATTATTTGAAATATAAAGTCTGGTATTTTACATCATCCAATAAGAAATGGAAGGGATTTAGCAAAATTTATGTCATTCAAACGCATTTCGTTTTAATCTACATTAATGCTATTTATAAAAATGTATATGAATTAATACTTGAATAAAAAAATAATAACTTGAATAAAAAAGTTACTTTTGTATAGAACATGTAGACAATACAATATTTATGTTATTTTGAAGATATAACATGATATCATATTTATGTTATTGTAGTGGTAATATTTATTTAACTCTCTTAGTACCTAAGAACTGATATATTGTATTCGATACTTCGGTTTTTTGGAGTAACACCTTATTTTTACAAAATAAGTTCTTAAAGTAGAAAATATGGTGATTATTTACAAAGAGGGAACCACTTTCAATTTAAATGATTTTTAATATGTTGTCAAAATCACGACTCTAAGTAATGTGTTGAAGGTTTTAATCGATAGTCTCTATTTATTATAAAAATAATAGTCGAGTAAAATTCTTACACTTTCTGTTCCTGCGATAATGTTTTGTAATTCTAATGATACACCGAAAAATTATAAAGTACTAAGAGAATTAATCCGTTAAAAATAAATAAATAAATTTATACGTAAAAATGTAGTCTCATTTTCTTTGCTATGTGTAGAGTCTTTAACCAAGGACGGCTTCATTCGTTATCTAATGTCTGACGAAAACGCACCTGTGTTTTTGGACAAATTGGAAGAATGGATGGATATGGATCAACCTCTTTCCCATTATTATATTAATTCCAGTCATAATACTTACCTAAGCGGTCGACAAATCGGTGGTAAAAGTACCGTTGAGATGTACAGACAAGTGTTGTTAGCTGGTTGCAGGTAATTATTAATTATTAATAATTTATTACTAAATTACAGATTATTACGCATTATAAATTCATTTTTTCGTCGAAATTTAAAACAAAATGAAACTTAAATGGAGATTTTCTTCCACTAATTTGTTCCACTAGAGATCATAGATAGTTTACATTTATCTTATTATGTGCATTCTATAAATTTCTGCATTTTTGTATCTCCGAAAAATGCATAAAAATCCGCAGTCTAATTATCAGAGAATGTGGAAAAATAATCTTTCCTATATGTTATCTTGATATAAAACATTATCATTGCTCATTTAACATATTACTATAATTATTATTTACTATGCAATATTGCATAATTCTAAAGCATGTGAAATTCAGTAAATTCAATTCACTGTTGTATTCAGGAAAGTTTGTCTTGAAACTTCTCGAGATTTCATTCGGATCCTTGAAATCTTGGAAAATTCAATAATTTTACTAATGAAATAAAAATTACTAGCTATGAAGTTGATATTTATTTTGTTAATAAATTCTTGTTTGATAACTATTTTTTTTAGAGATAAAAGTTGTAATATTCTTCTTTTAAATATATATATATATATATATATGGTTGTAATATATATATATGGAATTTATACATAGCATATATTGATAAAATTTTATGAAAAGAAACATTTTGTTTCTCTCAAAAAATTTGAAAAATTTCTACTTTAAATCGAAAGAAATATAATTAACATATATTAAAATACATTTATTGTAATTTTAATTCGCACGTAAATGTAACATTTGTTTGCTCATTCAATTTAGAACTAGAAATGATTTTTATACATTCTCTGCAACTTTTAAGATATTCTAAATAACAATAAATATTTAAATAACAATAAATATTTTATAGAAATGTATAAAATTTTTAACATCTGACAAATTCATTGAGAGAAAACAAAAAGTAGAAAAAAGAATAATGAATGAAAAAATAATATCATCTATCAGATGTGTAGAGCTTGATTGCTGGGACGGAAAGGGAGAAGACGAAGAACCCATCATAACCCACGGCAAAGCTATGTGTACCGATATTCTTTTCAAAGACGTTATATACGCTTTGAGAGACACAGCGTTTGTTACATCGGAGTATCCTATAATTCTGAGCTTCGAAAATCATTGTTGTCTGAAACAGCAATATAAATTGGCTAAATATTGCGATGAAATATTGGGAGACTTGCTGTTGAAAGAGTCTCTGAAAGATTATCCGGTAAGTAATATTTATATTCCAATTCCTTAAATAATCTTTGTTATATTTTTATAACTTCTCGATTATAATAAATATTTATCATTAAATATATTTCACAACGTGAATATTTTTCCATCGAAATAATTGGTCTGTATTACGTTGTCGCATGATAAATATTCTTTCTGTTATAAAACAATTATAAAATAGAAAGTTTTTAAAATGGAAATTTTTTATTAAAATAAGAATTGTTTTAATTGATACATTTTCACTGTTATATAATTAATCATATAAAGTTTTATGAACTCATTTAAAATGCATTAAGATTACCAAATAGATCGAATAAAAAAATAAGCAAATAATAAGTTCAAATAAGGAAATACACCAAGGTCTCCTGATAACCAAGTATTCTGTTATCCAAATAGAATATTTAATAATAATATATGTTGTTTCTTGTATTAAATTATTTTATATGTATTATTATATGTATGTCTGGCGTGTTTTTCATAATTTAAAAAAAAAATTACTAAAATATGATGTACAAGACTTCATTCTAAAAAAACGAAATATACAATACATTTACTGAAATAAATACAATTAAATGAATTTGTTAGAGAATAAATTTAATTGGAATTCATATAATAGAATTTCTCCGATTTTCCTTTACTAGTGATTCTTCATTCATATAATGGAAATTCAGATTTAAATAAGTACTACTAATTAAAATTCAGTTCAGGTATTTATTTACAAAATTGTATAAACATTAAATCTAAATGCTAATACAAAAATTATTCTATAATTTGTCTCATAAATACTATAAATTCGTGAATAAATAAATCACAATATTGATAACATGAAAAATATTAATACAGATGTATAATAAAATATTTTATTTAAGTTAAAAGAAATATTCTTTTCAATAATAATTAAACATTTAATAATATTTAAAATTTCTTTCAATAATAATTTATTTATATATTAGAGTTATTCGGAAATTCCATTAACCAAACACTTTACATCGATATTAAAAATGATAATTGATGAAGATATTTTTTACGCGACCCAGGAAACTTTTTCTGCGTTTCTCTCTAGCAGCAGGATTTTATAAATTTTTAACACGCTCGCTAAAAAATACGAGTTTACTAGATTCAGAGCGTGCGGATCAAATGGAAAAATGAGAGGCGTGCTTATCGCACGGATGAATAACGTTTCGCGAGAAATAACGTTTATTTTGTAATCGTAAATAAAATGACGCAGCTTGAACCGGGACATCCACTTCCACCGCCGAGTGCACTGAAGCGAAAGATATTAATCAAGAATAAAAGACTGAAACCGGAGGTAGAGAAGGTGGAGCTTGAGTTATTCCGCTCCGGGCAATTCGAGGCGAAAGATGAAGTAATCGAGGATCCCAATGCACCACCTGCGCCAAAGGTTAACTCCATATTGTATTTATACTTTGAATTTTGACAACTGTTTCTGTAGATTTAGAAATTGTTTCCTACTGCAACTAATATAGTTAAATGTAGTAAATGTATCTTCACCCTTTCAACATTATCGGGTACATTTATATCTACAATATGTCAACATTACTGGATGTATTTATATCCCGATCTTGAACACTGTTGGATTTATATTTATATTGTTGAAAATTTTTCTCAATCTCATTCCAAATTCCATATAATTTAAATATTTTAATTGTTTATAGTCTTTAATAGATTATATGACCTACAATGAAGTATGATAATAATGATGATGATGATGATGATAACAGTAATAGGCTAAAGTAATAATTTGTAATTAGGATAACATCCTAATATCATTGTATAATAATAATATTTCAAATAATATATTTTCCATATAAAGCCATTTATTCGTATTTATTAGTTTATTATTGGGATAAAAATAATCGTAAAACATTATTGGGAAACAATCCTAACTGTGTTAAAAAAAGAAACAACCTTTGTATAATATTCTCTGTACTATAATGATGATTCAAAAGTAATCAACGAAAACGCAGTTTAGTATAAGAAATGTTAATAAGTAGGCCACGGATTTTTATGAATACATAAGACACAAAAATATTCAAAAATACAATACCTTTTATAATATAGTATTTAATATATGAATCAAATCTCCATCTAGATTCTGCTTTTCTAATTATTTTCACAAAAATACAAATTTGTATAAAGATCCGCAATCTATTAGTAAGTAAATTCTCGGATAATTTCGATTTATTTTTTACAATCGTTTTATTGATCATTTTACTATAATTATTATGACATTTTCCATGCTAATAATTTTTATAACATTACAGGAAGAACCACCACCCGAAGCTGCGCCAGCTGAGGGTGCTCCACCAGGTGAAGGAGGTGCTGAAGGAGAAGCACCTCCGATTCAATATACCGGTAGTACTATGGCTTGTCATCCTTGGCTTTCGTCGATGATTAATTATGCACAGCCAGTGAAATTTCAAAGCTTTGAAGTTGCTGAAAGTATGTAAAATGTTCTCTCCTTTCTTTCATATTAACGTACAAATTTCTTTTGTACAACAAATTCTACTTTTTGATAAAGTACACTATATATATGTATTTTACTGTTGTTCACTACATGTTCACAATGTATGCGTATTTTACCGTTGTTCACTACATGTTGTATGCCATTATTCTGTTGTTAATGATGAAATGAATTTTCATATCGTGCTTTTTATAATAATGTCTTTAATACAAAAGAAACAAATATTGATATCTGTTCTTTTTAGTGAAAGATTATCTAGAACTTTTAAATTAGCAATCGTTTACTTTTACTTTAAAAGTAACGTTAACTGAAGTATTATTTGCAAATATCAATAAGCAAATTAATTAATATTAAACAGAAAATTGAAGAAAATTAATTTAATTGAAGATGTTATTCCAAAATATTGTAAATTATAAATACTTATAATTATAAATAAAAAAGAAAAAGAAATACAAATAAAAAAATAACAATTTAATAGTAAAATTAGCGGGAAAAATATTATTTCTCTAACAATTACATAGGATGAATGTAAGAATTAAAAAAAAAAAACAATGAATGAAACATCCTATAAGAAAGATTTTAACATTATAAAATAAGTTTTGGTTTATAATTAAATAATTAAATAATTAAATAATTGAAGTAAGATCAGAGCAATATAAAAATCAATGAAAAATATTTGTTATTTTGAATGATTCAAGCAATTGTTATAAATAGTGAAAACATACAATAGTAATGTCAATAAAAAATATTTTACATGCACACACGTACAAACATATAATAATTGCAATACATTTGTTACTGAAATACATATAACGCGTTTTTGTTATTGCAGAAAAGAACATACATCATAATATGTCCTCATTTTCGGAGACTGCAGCACTCAATTACCTGAAAACGAATGCCGTAGAGTTTGTTAATTATAACAAACGCCAGATGAGTCGAATTTATCCGAAAGGTACAAGGGCTGACTCGTCAAATTATATGCCACAGGCAAGTTATTAATTATACCTACAAAAAATTCGTATTATTCGGTATACCAGCATTTATATTTGTTATTAATACTTATTTATAATTATTTAGGTTTTTTGGAATGCAGGCTGCCAAATGGTGGCATTAAACTTTCAAACACCCGATCTGCCTATGCAATTAAATCAGGGAAAATTCGAGTATAACGCAACAACTGGATATTTACTGAAACCTGATTTTATGAGAAGATCAGACAAAATCTTCGATCCATTTTCCGAGGATGTAGATGGTGTTATCACAGCCCAGTGCTCTGTCCAAGTAAATTTTGCTTACGAAAATAATTCTAGATTGAACAATAAATTTTATCAAAATATTTGAAATAAATAAGAATTTAATTTCGCTACATAAGTAATTATAAATAATATTTTATATATTAATTTATTATTATTTATTTATAGACATTATTATCTTCATATTTTATAATGCGATTCGTAGCACGAATTATTAAGTTATCAATTTTAAAAAAAGACTGTTGTCCTAAAAAGTTTGAATTCGAATTTTAAATTTAAATTCTTTAAACTGGACTAAAGAATTATAAATAAAATATTTTATATCTGACATGGTAAAACAATAATTTGTCTAAGGAAATTCAGAAGAAAATTAAAGTAATAATATAAAATACATTATATAAAATATTATTAATATTATAATTAATGTTAGTATTATAATAATACTTTATTAAAACATGAATAATGTTTAATATTTAATCTGTATCATTTAGTAGTAAATAATGCTTAAAATAAATAATACTCTTTATACTGGTTACAATATATATTTTAGAATAATAATATAATGTAATCGTTAATATGATTTATTCATCAGGTGATAGCAGGACAATTCTTGTCTGACAAAAAGGTCGGCACTTATGTTGAAGTGGATATGTACGGTTTACCAGCAGACACAATTAAGAAAGAATTTAGAACACGAATGGTTCCTGGAAATGGTTTAAATCCAGTTTATAACGAAGAACCATTTCTATTCCGAAAAGTTGTACTTCCCGACTTGGCTGTACTCAGATTTGGTAATTTTATAATATAATTTCAACGCATTATCTAAAACTCATAAACTGCAACAACATTGAAGAGGAGAATCAAATTTTCTACCTGTAGCAATTAAACAAAGATCTTCTACTAACACAAAATAATTAAAGACATTTATTTCTTTTATTTTGTGCAATAAATTGATGTTATTTATCATCACACTTTCGTCTATAAAAGTATAAAGCTTGTTTTTAATTAATTATACGCACATTATAATTACATGCAATTTGCAACTTTATCGTCGTATTATTAAACATTATTATTTCATTCATTCAAAGGACGCGATTTTACGCTGTTATTCTCGCATAGGTGTATACGAAGAGAGTGGAAAATTGTTAGGCCAACGAATTCTACCACTGGATGGCCTTCAAGCTGGATATAGACATATTTCGTTGAAGACCGAGGCAAATTTCCCCATGGCACTGCCGATGTTGTTTTGTAACATTGAGCTAAAGATTTACGTGCCCGATGGATTCGAAGGTAATATCTTGAGCAAGTTTGCCGAACAAAAATAGAAATGTATCACGATGATTCTGAGACGAGCCTGCTTTCCCGGCTTGTAGACTTCATGGCTGCCTTGTCTGATCCGGGTGGATTCAGCAAAGGAGCAGAGAAACAAGCCGAGACTATGAAAGGGCTAGGAATCGAGCAAACCGACTCGAAGGCCGAGGCAAAGAAGAAGGAAGAGGAAAAAGCTAAAAAGGGTATACCATCGTTTTAAGTAAATTTCAATTATAAACATCAAAGTGAACGATTGTTTAATGTTCCGTTATTTCAAACTGTTGCCATTTAACGATTTTTAATTGTTCTAGAAATTAAATCGTTTGCTCAAAGTGTTATCATTAAGATTTCAATCGGTTTGTAAAAATTTTTGCGTTAATTAAAAATTTTTTTTTGTGATAAAGTAGTTTGTGATAAAGTAAAGGTAATTTTGTGAAATGAAAACTGCAAGAGTCTGTGATGATGATGCTTATAAAATATTTTTAAAGACTCTACTATAGAAATAACAATTAATTGGACTAGTTGAAATTAAATTCAAACGTTCATTAAGATTATTCTTTCTGATACAATTTAAATTGAATTTACCTCTTATTTACTACCAATTACGATCACAACGTCGGTTGAAATTAACGTAAAGCAATTAAAAAATAGTAATAATCATCTTTTATTGTTTCTTCAGTTTACTTAATATCAAAATATGAATTATTATTATTTCACTTCCTAAATTTATCTATTTTATTTTTCTAATTTTATTCTTATATATTTCAAATATATAGTATACGTTTCATTGTATTAATACGATATTTATTTACACAATTTTCATGTCTTTAGCTCTAGAACTACCAAAATGATCAAAATGACCAATTTATAATTTTTCATAGAAATTTTATATATTTATAACAAATTTTATATGCTTTTTAGAGATTTGAAAGACTTTTAGCAAAATATGTATATGTAAATAGAAGCATGCATTCATTATTGTATCATAAATCTTTTTTCTACTCTTTCTACACTTTGATTTCTCTTCTACAAATTTTATACTTTAATCATCTAATTCTAGTGTTAATATATGTATCTATATAGGTATATGTTCTATACTTTAACGAATTATGTTTTTAAATTTATTATGTTTGTGATATATGTATATTAACATATTATCGTCATAGTTAAAGTATTTTAAAGTATTTTAAAAACTGTTTTGCTTCTAATGTCCTCTTCGGGTCCATATAACTTAAACTAGACATTATAATTCAATATATTATTAAAATATACAAAGTTCTGAAATATCTTGTTTTAATATTCAATATAATATTATGATCTTTTGTATATTTTGCATCTTCTATAAAAACAAGTGTTGCGCGAAAGAAAAGAAACAAGATACAGCTGATAAAGAAGTAAAGAGAATAATGGGATTAAATAAATCTATTTTTACAATTTTATTCTATCATTGCTATAATAACAGTAGAAATAAGCACAAAAATAAATATCATTTGTCAATTTTAGAATATTTATCAAAATATAAAAATATCGAACTGAGTATGTTTAAAGAAGTTTGACGACTATCTAAACGAATTTTCAATGGAGATGATTAAACAAGAAACGTTAATATATTCGTCATATTTAAATTCTGTGATATATTTCTAAAATATTATTCTGTTATAAACTTTCCAGAGGAATTTAAGCCAGAGCCAATTACTATAGACACACTAAAGAGAGAAAAGACGTATAAACTAGGTAAAAAGCAGCTAAAGGAGTTGGATACAATGAGGAAAAAGCATTTGAAGGAACGACAGACCATGCAAAAAAATCATTGCGCTGCAATTGATAAATTGGTGAAGGGAAAGGAGTACGTAGCGTATTAAAACGTTATTTCCGCTAACTGGAAATTACCGAATTATCGCAATTAACGTCATTATCGCGCCAAATCCTAACTGACAATGATAAATCTTGCTTTTACAGCAAAGGCGCGTTGCTACAGGATGCGAACGTGAAAAAAGTTATAAGCGAACAAACCGCGCAATGGTCTGCCATGGTTGAACGACAACGAAAGGAGGAATGGGAAATGTTGAGGAATCAGGCGGAAGCCGGCCGGGACGAATATAAAAAATTAATTGAAATTGTACAGGCATCGCAAGTTAAACAATTACAAGCGAAACACGACAAGTACGTAAATTCTATTTCTAATTTCTTTTTTGGTAATTTTGCTTGTTCATTTAGGTTTCTTATACAAAATTTTGATTTTGAACGTATATTGTTTTGTATCCAATGATACAGACGAGAAAGGGATGATTCTATTTCGGAAAATAAGTAAAAAAGAATGTTAGTCTCTTTTTTTCAATTCAAGGCTTCGTTCTCGAGAAAATTTATCAAGAATTTAACTAATTCTACATTATACAGAAATGAATAATCGACAGGAAGCCGATTTAAAAAAATGGAAGTAAAAAATATTGAATGTAATGTCTCACTTTCAAAAAAAGTTTGGACATATTTAAAACAAACAAGTTTTATGAAAATAATTATATTCCACACCTTTCACTTATTTTTGTAAGTAAAATAACTTTCTGTTAATTTTTATCCAATCTAATATATTTAAGTAAACTTGATAAATTTTCAACTGTGATTTTTCTTGGAAACTGGAATGGGATTTTTCTTTTCTTTTCGATTTATTTTTTGCATATATAGTTACTGACAAAAGAAAATTTATAATTGGTATTTCTTATTATGATATTAATTTATTACTAACCGAACATCTTTTTGTCAATTCTAAATATATTATATCTAGTCATTGTTCTTGTTAAATATCTATTTTATAAAATTCTCATGCAATTATTATTATTATATTTTAAATTATCTCATGCAGCTTATTTTTTTTATCCGCTACTAAAGAATCATCCCTTTTATATATATATGAATCTCTTATTGTCAATCTTACAATTAGATGGCAGCAAGATTAAAAATATTCAGATATACAAAATTAATTAAAAATTAACAAAACAATTATTATAGTTTGCGAAATTATTTTTTTCATGAAGGTAATATATTATTTATATGTATTATTATAATTTTATTATTCATTATTTATATATAATATAATTGATATATAATTTATATATCATATAATATATATTATTTAAAATATAATAAAACTTATAATAATATAGGAATTTTCGATAAAAGGTAATGGTACGAAGCTGTTTCAACGTCAAAATAACGGTATAATTTGATACATTAAACAATTCTATGCTAAAATAGTACAGCATAGTACAAAATATTTCAGCTATGTTCTAACATCCACACATTGTTTATTTAATTTAAGATTTCTTTCACTCACATTAGACAAATTACTTTAAAATTTCAGATTATGTTCATTCTAAAGCTTAGTCGAATTTTTCACTTTTTCTTTACATCTTCATTCACACATATCTAGAGCTTGAACCTCAGAATTAGTCTCTGGCAATAATAATTGCTCGAAATTCTCTTTCTTATAATCATATTTTTTTTCGGTTTCAATTAACTTCAGAGATATCAAAGATATGAACGCGAATCAAGTAAAAATGTCCGTGGAGACAGCTAAAGAAGTAATGAATGACAAAGCATTGAAGACAAAAGGGGACAAGGATCGTCGACTTCGTGAAAAGAAAGAACAGAATACGAAAAAGTTTATGCAAGAAAGGAAAACTGTGCAAATCAAGCAAGGACGTGAGAAAGAAAAATTGAAAACAATTCACGAGAAACAAGTAGCAAATTTAGATGGCGATATTCAAGCGGTAATGATTCATAATTTTATATTAAAAAATAATTTCTCCTTGATTGTTGAAGAATAAGATAATGGACGATATATATTTTCTTTTCTTTCTAAATCAAACTTTATTACTCAATATCATACCTATCAGTTATAAAACAATATGTGTAAATACAAATTAATATTTATTTTTACTTTATTTTACTTTCTCACTAATGTGTTAGATTTATTTTTCTTCTTGATATAATAATAATGTTTAAAAATTATTACTTTGTTACAGACCATTGAAATGTATACGAACGAAGCAATGCAATTGGACATATCGTCTAAGACAGAATTCTTTGTATAAATTATGAAATTTTCTACATGAAAAGTTTGTACTGAATTTGAAAACATATTTTCTATGCATACTTGATATTGGTGTTGTTTCTAAACTTTATACAATCTTTCGATTTTTCATTTTTTCTTATGCGTTATTTCATGTGACCACGGTTTGAATTACTATTAGGATTCCTCACAGATCTATATATAATTTACGGATGTTTAATTTGTTTTATACTCCTTTGTAAAGGATAATTATTACACATCATATATTTTAAAATTTTGAAATGAAATATATTAATTACATATTTATATTAATTTTTCATATTTAATATTCTTTGAAATCAGTCGTAAGCCTTAACGATTTTTAATATTTTTTTTTCCACAACTTTTATGAATACTTACTATCTAAATATTATATTTATTACGAATATTATATTTATACGAACAATATTTACTTATGATTGTAAGCTTTTATGAAATTACGTTTCAATAAATTGTTTAAAAATCTAAAAATTATCGTAGCCTTGCTACTAGGAGGCAATATTTCCGATTTATTCAGAAAACTTTTATTTCCTCGTACAATTATAATTTAATACATTGTACTAATCATATATATATAAACAACGTTCATTATGAATAATAATTTACAATAATTTCAATCATCACCCTATAATATAATATACATACGTATAATACACGTATAATGAAATGTAATGTTTCTACTTTGTAAACGCACGAACAGACTTACTTACTAGAAACTTTGTGCGCAAACATAGGCTTTGTAAGAATTTTAGAGATTCGATCGTAATATAAACTTACACGTTACTTTGTTCAATAGTAACGCAGACAGGAAACACAGAGTAAGTTAAACAAACAACGGAAAAGTGGGGCAAACACAAGACCAATAAACTTGATTAACGATCCAATGTTTCACTGTCAGTGACTTAAGATGTTTTCTCCTTGTACTGTTCCACGTAACGTTGAACAAACGGTAGCCTATAAACTCGTAAAGAAGCAATGGAACCCGCACACGCACCCACCCAATAAACTATCACGTGTTCCATAAAGGAAGTTCCTAAACATCCGTATTTCAAAGAGGTTGCCAATGCTGGATTGAAGTAGCCGCCAGAATAATCAAAAGCTGAAATCACCGTGAAAATAGATCAAATATATGTACATTTACCAGCATTAACAAGTATTCATGTTGAAAGAAAAGAGATCCAATTTAATGATTGTAATACGATGGCACAGAGCATCTACATTTATCTACAAAAGCTTTTAATTGTTAAATTGAGGAAAGTTGAACATCTCTCGTGTTGGATTTATTAAAAGCGAGAGGACTGTAGCGAGATAATTGAAAAGAAATTTTTCATGAAATAAAGGAGAAAAGAAAATGAAAATAAAAGAAAAAATATAAAATATTTGAGAAAATATAACGAAATGTAAAAAGAAAATATAAAATAACTTTATTTAAATATTATAAGAATTTTTTAATCATTTTTGCGGAGTATTATTATTTTAAGAATTTTTAATTAATATTACCATTTTAAAAATTTTCAAATTTTCTTTCGAGAGAAGAAACAAAAAAATTGTTGACTTTACTTCTTACCTCTAAAATGATAATAAAGTAATAATAATACAATAAAGAACTGAATGATAATATAATAATAATGATAATAAAATAATAATTCGAAGTGCTAAAGTTTATATTACTTATTGCTCGATAAAAGAATATTACGATCAATCACATAACATCACAAATTTTATATTCTTTCTTTTTTTACTATAATATTCAGATAATTTTCAATCGGAAAGTTTAACGATGGTATGTATTTCAATATAAAAAAAAAAATTAAATTTAAAAATCGAATTCGAAAAATTTATATTCAATTCGTATATTTAAACAAAATAGTTTTAATAGAGGTAAACAAAGAAAAACATGTTTAAAAATTTGGATTGATTCCGACTCCTTATTAGTCTAAATATAAAATAAATTGATTTCTTAAAATATTGATTACTTTGATCTGTTAAAAACATATTAAATATATAACCAAATATTTATGAGCTACAAAAAAGATATGAATGAATAAAATTTACTATTTCTCTATACACTTTATATACTCTATAATTAAAAAATTAAGTATAAATTAATAAACAAAAATAAATTAATAAACAGAATTTTAAATCATAACATAAATTAATCAAACCTGCAATAACTAAAGTCGTTCCAACGAAGGAATCAAGAATAACACTAATCTTCGAATTAATCTCACTTAAGCCACGTGAGACCACCCTATATATACAAGTTGCCACACATTCGATAAATGCTCCAAATATTACAGGCACCTTAAAGATAAAAAAAAAAGATTCATATAATCTTAGTTATAATTTGTGAAAACTACTTTCAATCTCATCGTTAACCATAATACCAGGTTAGTTTTAAAAATTTGCAAAAATGTAGTATTTTTAATGTTATGTTCTTGATTAGGGCATTGACGCGAAAACATCATTTTTGTTGCATTTTCGAAAAAAAGAAATAAAAACAATTTAGGTAAGTTCGTAATTCATCATTGTACTTACTTGCAAATCAGTAGTACAATCTTCGAATGCTTTGTTCTTATGCGCCGAAACAATTTCGAGTGCCCAAAGTAATTGAATATATCTAAAAACGGCAAGACCACCGACAAGTTCAGCCCATATTAAAAGGAAAGCATCGCGCACTGACTTCGTTCCATTGACAACATCTTCGATGTGTGTATAGGGACAAGCACTAGCATCTTCCCAATTCATAGACCACCAAATTGTCAGTACGAATAAATATACGCCATACATAGAGACACCCCAGTTTTCCGCAACTAAGATACATTATAAGTAAAACAGTGAAGGTCAAAGAATTTATATCGAAAATATAATATAATTTGATGTCAATTACACTTAATTAAAAAATGTTAGTTGTTACGGTTGTACGTACATATGAAAGAAAGAAGAAAACAGAAATTTCATTTCAAATTACAATTTGAAAAATTTATAAAGCGTATCAATTAAGCGTAGAATAATTATTTATTTAAATTGTTAAACAATTAAAAATTAGTGACGATGAATAAACTTACTTATTATCAACTCGAAACATGCTCCGCAAAGTTCAGCGGTAGCAATGCCTTCTAAAAATAGGGACCTTACAAATGGATCCCGTATGTAATAGTTGGTATATCTTCTCAACCAATAAGCTATAAGACTTGTGAGTACAATATACAGTGTAGAAACTGCTAAAGCAATTATTGTCGCAGCCATAGTGTTAATCGGATATATACAAACTCAATAATATTATAAAATTGGAACTAAAAAAGAGTAATGAAATCGTGAATAAATATGTATAATGTATAATGTCAATGGCTGCTATATAATACAACTCATACATTACCTATATCTTCGCAATCATAAAATTTAAATTCCATTGAGCAAATACAGTGAGAATTCGGAGAGTGAGTAATGAAACACCATATTAAATCAAAAGAGCGTTTTAAAGATTCTGTAAGAGAAATGGAGTAAAATATCAGTAGATTTTGCCAGATAGCAATTTGTTATTGATGAAAACGAAAGCACAAAATATCAATTGTAATATTAATTAACCCCTCCATAAAGATTCAATCGTAAATTTCCTTTTTTGAAGGGGGGGGGGGGGAAGAAAATATTTCCGTAAAACTCTACAAAATTATCTAACTTGCTCTCTTTTAGAATCACTAGAACAACCTCTATACATCATATATGCTGTTATTTTTTCACACTGTCGATGCACATCACAGACACTATCGTTTCTTCATCGTCGTCCTCTGTACAGATTTAAATTTTCTATTAATGTTAGTCCGAAATAATAATAACATACGACGTATAGATAATGACAAAGTATGAAGAAATAATAGTCTATGCGATATATGTATAGAGGACGATGAAGCGCGAAGAAATGACAGTCTATATGACATATGAAATTAATAATTCTCATGAGTTAATAATCAACTTTAATAATTAACTTTAATTAATTTTTAATTGTCATGAGTTACAAAATATCATATTTAACTCTTGCTTTTTTTATATTTATTATTACTGATGATAAAACATGCAATACGTATATATATCAACATAAGTACTATCATAGAAAGTACATTACTACAGTACTTTTCATTTTCATGTTTCTACCATACGAATACTTTTATCCTCGATTATTATATGTATATACCGAATTACAAGAAATCGTAATATAGAATTACATTTTGAAAAAATTATGAACAATTTATCGCTATACTTTAATTGAAATCATCTAAATATGTATATTGTTACATGTATTACCTTAATCGAAAAAAAAAAAAAACAATCTATCGCTATATTTTAAATGAAATCTTATGAATACGTTGTATATTGTTACATGTACTTTAATCTAGAAAAATGAAGAACTTAGCAATGATATATGAAAATATAGTTAACGTTTGTCAGTTATTACATATTAACATTATAATGTATATACAAAATGCAGATAATAGAAAGTTTAAAGCAGAACATTATGCAATAGTAAAGATTATGCAAAACAGCATTTCATAAATTCAAGTGATTCTTGTGAAACGTAAACTTACATATTTATCATTGGATTTCATTCGCTTTTTGTCATCTCTTCCTGAATAAATATTCGCTCGGCACTTACAGAATCTATTTCTTGATCGCACAAAATCTATTCCTTTCTTCCACGCACAGCAAGATTTCACTTAACTGTTATTTTAAATTACCGAGTGTAATTGAATGTATTTGAGTGAATATATTGCGTGGCTTTAAATAGCAGTCCCCAAATTATCTGGTTGGACATCCACATCACGTTAGATACTAAATATTTTTCAAACTTACGACGAAACATGAAGCAGTTCATGATTTTTTTCGTAAATTTATATAATATGCCATTATTATTAGTATAATTTTATAACTATTTATAATTTTATAACTACTTCCAATTAAGTAAAAACAATTTATTTATTTCATTTATTCGTATCACTATTTTGATTCGTATTTCAAAAATCAAAGAAAATAGAAATTATAAATTTTTTACGCTAAAGATAATAAATTTAATTTAATGCTTACGAATTTTGTTCATATAACTTTCGAAGAATAATTTGACCTAATCGATGATAAATTTAATTTCATAACATTTACCTGTTTAACAAATTAGGATATTAAATGTAGCAGTTGATGTGCATTCTAATGAATTGAACCGAGAGGAAGTATGCGTCAATTAATCAGGTAGTTATATATATCACATTCTCTGAGTACTGAAGATTACAAAGTGCAAGTAAAAAAAGAATTTTACAACATAATTATTTATTCGCAATTAACACAAATATAATTGTTATAAAAACAAATAAAACTTTCAATGTATATTGTTATGATTGGATGTTTTTATTCATTTATGAAGTATTAACTACATTTATTACATAGGTAAATGATTTCATGTTTGTTTATGAATGTTGACTAACTTTACCATTATAAAAAAGAAAGTAACAATTATTTACAAGAATCAAATGACTCTCCTTTATGCTTTTTGGCCGCTTGAGCATCATCTTGATTCTCTGTCTTTATCATTAACCTGGAAATCCGTTTCGACTTTAAGTAGGACATCGTTTCGCTTGATGATCTAAAATGAAAAAAAAAATTATGAAAGAAAAAAAATGTAATTATGAATTGTATATATAATTCTTTTATATATACAAAATATTCTGCAATGAAACCAGAAAACGAACAATTTATTCAAAAGATTATTTTAAGTAAAAACAAAAATTATATATATATATAATGCACACACATAGTAAAATATTTCATAGTGAAATTCATTCATTTGAATTCACACATTAATTTGCACTTTTTAGAAACGAAATTCTGACATGCAAAACAGTTACGCAAATATAGTGTCTACATACAAAAGGTATTGCACATATGTTTGTTTTTTAACTTATTATTCTATATTTTATAATCCTAAATTTTTATAATCATGTAAAAGTACAATTAAATGATACAAAAAAAGGAGGAACAATTCATCTTTAAACATTAACAACACAATATTACAGGAAATATAATACTAATATCATTAATCTAATAATTAAATATTAAATCTATGTGAAGCAAGTTTATCATTTATGATTTATATCAATAAATTTTATATATCTTAAAAATAGAAACAAATTAATATATAATTTGTAAAATAGTTTTCGCTTAGAATAAATTTTCGAATATATTAACAAATTTTGATGATTTTATTACTATCAACTTAGTAATAGTTTAATCATTTTTTTATTTACCTGGGAGTTTTAGTTTCAGTCAACATTTCTGTTGAATTGCTTTCAGATGAGCTAGAACTTGTACACGGAGAATACGGAATGATCTGGTATGTAGTTCTATTAACTGCTTCAGTAGTTGGTTCTGTATTTTCTGTTTGATTTGGCATATTATTGTTAATACGATTTTCCCCATCTAATATAGGTTTCTTCTTATCTTCAGCATCCGTTTTAACAGATTTTACATCAATATTATTTTCAGCCTTAGTCTTTAATTTTCCATCTTGAGTAGGAAAATTTACAGTTGGTATTGTTATATTTCTGTCTCCTTTTCCTGCGATCATTAATTTAATCAGTAGTTTAGATAATTCTTCCCTTTTCCTTGTTACTACTATTTCTTCAAACCAATTTTTCAATGTCTTTATTGGTAACGTATAATCTTTAATAGGATTCTGGAATAGAAATTTATTATTGTATAATTTTTAATACTATCTTGTTTAGCAATTTACTAATAATATAAACTCAAAAAATAAACTTACTTTAAAGAAGCTTTCTACATATTGTAATACATATAATCCGCAATCAGTAAAGTTTGATTGCTGAGGAACTTTCAACGATGCTCCTTTAATAGTATCTTTCGAAAATAATTTTTCATTTCCCATTTTTGCAACATATTCACAACTTAAGTAATCTCTTAATGTAGCTACTACACGTGCCCTACTTGCTCCCGCAAGAGAATCAAATATCAATATGCAGGGTCTATAAAAAAGTGAAATAAAAATATAAATAAATACAATGTCCTTCAGACATAATGTGATTTGTTTCGAAAATATATACAAAAACATACACTTTTATAGTTTCCTTTTCTTGCTGTATATTTTGCTCTGTTTTTGGATTTTCTGTGGTTTCCGATTCATCCTAAATTAAAAATTATTGATAATATATAGCACAATATTTTTATAATATATCATAATTTAAATTAAAACAGAATATTAGTTTGCACCACACTTACGTCATCTTCACTATCCATCTCCATTTCTTCATCATCGCCTTCAGCTTCATCTCTTTCTGAACCATCATCACCTTGATCTATAGTTACAGTAGTTGTCACTGGCTTAAGGGTAGTACTTCCAATTGTAACAGCTTGAAGCTTTACTTCTTTTAACTTTTTGCTTTTTTGTACAGTTTTACGAACATCATTTTCGTCTAATCGTTTAGGCTGTGCAAAAACTTTACCTACCAATCCAGGGAAACAAATAATAGCCAAAAACCAATGGGCACTGCAATATTATTATATGTAATAAATTTTATTTAACAATATTTTTATTATGAAATATTTAATATTTTTATTATTAAGCAAAAATGAAAAAAAATATTAAAGAACAGAGTACTTACTGTTCATTTATAGGAATAATAATGAAATCTTTTTCAAATATGTTGACGTTTTTCGTCCACTTTTGTACTCTTGCATGTCTCTTAGCAGCGGGTGAAAGAGGTATATTACTTTCACCTGCTTGAGCATGTGGACTTGTTAATCGCTTATAAAAATATGAACTAAATACATGAGTTCTATGTTGATCAGATTCTGGTAAAACTTCCAATGTCAAATATTTTAAATAAAAGTCTATGATCACGTCATTTAAAAATTGATCTTCTCCAAGACATAAATAATCTTCAGTATTAATAGCTATACCACCTTTAGCAGGTGGTGGTGGATATACAGTTATTCTGTAAATAAAAAATTTAACATTATAATATAATAATTATAAAAAAAACATTGTTGTTAAGAAAAATACAATGTTTCAAACTGTGATATAAAAAGGAAAACAATGTTAAATTAACATTTATTATAACGTTAAGTTAACATTTATTTATATTAACATGTTAACATTATTAATTCTTTGCACTCCAAATTATTTTTCAATTATTTTTTTTCAGCAATTTAACTGGCAATTTAAAAATATCGAGTGTGACTCAATATAAGAGTTCCTGTGATAAAAATTTATGTTGAGTCACACTCGATATCAAAGGAATGCAAAAAATTAAAACTAATAATGGAAGTAGTGGTTTGAAAGTCTTTCAATATTAGCTACAAAAATATACAATAAAAAATATAAAATTCAGTTAGAAAATTTAATTATGATTATTAGCTATGACTATTATTAGTAAAATAAATGTCAATACGATCTGTTATACAATTTCATAAAAAAAAAATACACGTATATATAATTATTTAATGTAATTTTATAATCAAATTTGCTTCCTACGTCTGTATACCGCCACTGACGTTTGAATTAGTTGTTGTTCCGGACTGATTTTCTTTCTTAGATAAGCTTTGTAGTTTTAGCTTCTGAAAAAAGATAATATTGTAAAAAATTATGTTATTGTTATATTATTTGATAGCAGTTTTACTTATCAACAACATATATCACATACATCTTTTGGCGATGCTCGTATAAGAATATCATTTGCTTCTTTTGAGTTTAATTCTTCTAATAAACGTCTCCGCGAAAACAAAGATTTTAACACAACTTTTGATTCTTCTGATAATTTTTCTGGCAGTAAAGTTATCCGTTTATGTGTATGATCTACAATAATATTAGCATTTTTAATTCATTTGATGTAAATTATATATTTTATTATGTATATATTTTAAAGTTGATACCTTTCCCAGCGGGATCATAATATGGCCCTTTTGGATCCTGCATTCCTAATAATTCACGGATCATAGCTCCAGTATTAGTAGATGTATAAAAGAAAAGTACTGGCATAGCTTTACCGAAATGAATTAGAACTTTTACTATTTCTTGAATTTTAACTTCTAATGCTACGAAGGTTTTATCTATAACAAATATGCACAAATATTTTGATATGATAAATATAATTATATGTGTCAAGATAACATACAATTATAAACACATTATAATTAATAAAAAACTCACCATCTTCTAGTAAGGGTACACCAAATCTTATTCCACTTTGTGAAATTACTACTCTTTCTCGAGGAACAAATTTATAAGAACCTATCCTTACTGTTCGACATAACAAAGAAGTATGTGGGGATTGAAGAGAATTATCTGAAAAATATTTTTGTTTCCTTCCACTTTATAACATAACTAATTATATCATATATAATTTATATAACTTAATACGTAATTAATCTAAATAGCAAATTTTCATAGATGTAGTATGTTTTTTATAGTGTGTAGTGTTATAGATATGTGATGCTGGGCCAAGAATAAAGCATTTCTTACTACGGTGTCATACATATATGATGTACTAAGATAATGATTAAAAAATTTTTTGGAATATCTAATAAAAAGATGATGAAAATAAAAATATACGTTAAATATATATTCTTATTTATTATAATATTTTTTAAAATATATATCCGAACAGACATCTATTTGTTTACTATATGAAATCGAAAAAAGAATATTTTATACTAATGACTATGATTTTGCAATGTATCTTAATAAATCTTATTTTATTATAAATAAAATCATGAAAAATAAAATAAATTGAAAGATAAAGACGTTTCCAATA